CTCTCTCTCTCTCTCACTCACTCACTCAGCTTTAATTGAGAAAGGTCTCTTTTTTGGGTAGCAAGTGGTTGAGGAAGCTAGAAAGAATTATCATCTTCTTAAACAACTAACAGACTGATAATAGGAGTCTCTCTCTTTTATAGAACTGGCTTATGAATCGCATCAATGTTTTCAAGGCACGTATCATTTCAGGTAATGTTGGAATCCTTATCACAATGGAATCAGTCGTTTCCTATTTTATAGTTAATGTACTCCAACAGTTTTCAACATCTAGATTGACACAATGAATCTAACTTATTCTTAAGGGAAACCCAGAAGAAATTTCGACCTAGTTGTTGAGGCTTGATCTAGTGACAAAGAGAATATTGGGAAAGACATATTCTCAAGGATTGTCTATTTGGTTGAACAACTTAACATTTATTACTTGAGTTTATAAAAAAATGTTATTCCAATCTAATTTGAAAACTAAATACACTAATATCGTTAAATTAGTAGTGACTCACATTGTTGTATTTTTATTCTAAAATTTCGGGTTATACTTAATATATTTTTTGGTCCATGCAATAGTGCAACACAAGTACGACAACACTTAAAGTCCCAATAACAAACTATTGTAATGAACTCTCCCCTAAAAAAATTAATTTAATATTGTCAGACAATTAATTTAATATTGTCAGACAATGTCTTACATATTAGATATTAAATTAAATTAAATTAATAAAAATAGATACTACACTGGATTTTAGCCAAAAAACCGAGAAAGATATGTTTTGTTTTGATGTTTCTGCTCTATTATATCTCGAGTCGTAGTTTAATGCTCTCTCATATGCGCTCGATGTGGGAATAAGTTAGCTCAGACAACCTCTTTACTCACCTAAATTATTCATGTAATGTCTTCTCTACCACCCCACTGGCTTTTTGTCCCCCCACTACTGTCAAATGTAGTGGCAACATCCATAGTATATTAACATGTTCAAAGGAATCAACACCATTGAAAAAACCAGGAAGAATTCATACCTTCTTGAACAAATAATAAAGGGGTTGGTTTATGGCAGGTAATTGACTCAAGGTACTTGGACTTGGATGAGTTGAGTTTGAACAATTTTTTAGACACATTTAAAAAACGAGCTTATAAAAGTTTGGCTCGTTTATATGTAAAATAATCAAACTATTCGGGTTCGACTTCTTTTCTAAACGAGCCGAGTTTTAACAATTATTTAGATTCAATTTAAAAAAAACGAGCTCAACAGATTTATCTCAAACTCACAAAACTCGGCTCGATTATCTGCCTTATGAGAATTATGAATGTTCGTAATTTGATCAGTAAAATGAATTAAGGCACATATCATTTGAGGAACTGTTTGGAATCCGTATCGCAATGAAACTATCCTTTGTTATCTCATCTTCTACACTAAACAAACGCTAACCAAAATTAAAATCTGAACGTTCTTAGAAAGGTCTGTCATCCTTGTTCATAATCAAGGACTTAGCATCCAACATACCACGAGTTCTTTCTTCAGATATAACAATGGACCTGGTCTAACCTAACGGGAAGGGGTATATGAATCAGTATGTGATTGTGAGACTTGACCTCGTAGTGTGACTAGGGGTGCATTTTATTAACCCACCGAGAAGCCACTTTGCTCTAATATAGCAAATTCTTTTATACAAATATTTTCAATGAATGGGGAATTAGTAATTGAGGGAATGGATGAAAACATGGAAGATGGGAAAATGTATGGTTTAAGCAGGAAAAGTCATAATTCTGTTGATTTGATATATATATTTTTTTTTTACTAAAGAAAAAGGTTTGAGGGACAACCGGGATAGAATCTCTATGAACATGACCATAATAGTCTGAATCTAAGAGGGTCAAAGTCCATTAGTGGGGCCTAACAACGAAACCGCATGCATTTTCAAAGACAAACTCGAGTCATAATCTAACTCCGCACCGCAAAGTTTTCAATAGAAGTAACGGGTGTCTACATGAATTAAACCCTGTTTGTTAGCCTCATGCAAGTCAATGAAAACCCTAAATGGGTCATTGCAAGCCAGTAGACCACCAGTCCGGTGGTTGTTGGTTTGATATGGAACACCACTATTTGGAGAAAAATATCATGATATTATGAAAGGGAATTTTGAACCTTTTATTTATTTATTTATTTTCTTGGTTATTTGGTGCATTAGTTGGTCACCTCATTCCAGAAAACAATGTATGAAAAAAAAAAACAGTATCAAGACCACCCATCACCATCTTCAAGTTAGAAAGGAGTGGGTAGCTAGCCAATTTGGACCATCTGGTATATGCTAGAGTTCATCTTTGACTCAAACAGTAATAGCAAAATTTTTGATCCCATCCTTTACACTTCTTAGGCTAAATTATACTTTGACCTCCTTAACTATGATTTTTTTATATTATCCCCTCAATTATTATGTTTTTCACCTTGCACTCTCAATTATGTGATTAATTTCACATCAAATCCAATTATTACAGAAGGGAAATTACTTCATTTATCCCCGCACTCTGCAATTTTTTTCATTTTGTCCCGACACTTCAATATTTTTGTTCAAAAAAGATAACCGGCATTTACAAATGAGATAATGTGAAATAATTTAAATAGTTGATGGAGTAATGTGAAAATTTCAATAATGTAATAAAGAAAGCAAAATCAAGCCTATAATTAAAAGGATGAAAGTATAATTTACCCTACTTACTAAGTATTTCCAATAGTAGATTTCCCACCATAAATTTAAGCGGGATTGGTTATGTGGACTCCAATTCCTACACCGCAAGTGATCCAACATTGACTTAAATTGAAGTAAAACCACTCCAAGTGCACCTCAGTGGTGATATGGATGAGCGGTAAATTAGAAGATTCACAAATTCTCTAATTTCATTATAAGTGACTTATCTTTAACCAAACTGAGGGAGAATTGGTCTAAGTGGGCCTAAATAAGCCTAGACACTCATGTAATGGAAAGACCTGAATCCTCGACAAAGGACCGAGACTATATTATTCGAGTAATATCATTCACTATTATTGATTTAATTATAAACCTCAATATTTATTAGAATTCACAACCTCTCTTAACAGCCGTGGTTGATAAGTCAACATTTTAAATTCAAATAATATTTTCCATATTATTCTCACCATATGTATCAAAATAGACATCAACGAGGACGGGGACGTTAAGGTTTGAAATTCAGAATCCTATCACCGTTGCTTGATTAAAATGGTATGGACAGAGCTTCAAACTCGTTGATTCAAGTGTTTTTAGTCAGTCAACTTCGTCGAGTTGTTTATATAATAACCCCAAAAAAAAACTTTGTCGAGTTTGAATTTAGCAAATTGTCAAGTTTGAATCTACCAAGTTGGAAATTTTTGTCAGATTCAGGGATGGTGTTTTAGGTTTATGCAAGACTTTCACTTCTTTTCAGCTACTAACACAAAAAAAAAAAAAGAAAGGAATTCCTAGTAGTTTATCTAGGTTGATTGCTCTCAATCTTCATGGAGGCTGCTCAAGAGTTGGAACTTCAAGCCACAGGTTGGTCAACCAAGTTGCCAATTTATTTTCTCTGTGTGTGTGTGACATAGAGGTTAGTTCTATTTTTGTTCATCCTTTTTTTCCAGGTTCAACTGCACCCATAGAATTCACAGAGCAAACAACCTTCACAACTACACCCAACCCTTACATTATATCACTGCATGCATAGTGTATGCTGAATTGCCTTTGAGTTGAAACTTTAAGCTGATAGAAACAAAGGGATTTTAGTGGAAAGAGGGTATGATAAAATGAAGAATTACATCATCTGTTCAATATAATCAGGTGTTTTCTCTGGTTTTCGGACCCAAAAAAAAAAAAAGAAGAGAACATAATTAGTCACTGATAGCTCATATGATCGTAGCTTCATAGTTCATACCATGGGATTCAATTTCTGGATTGTAATTGATCAATAGGCTTTGAAGTAGAAAATAGCACCTTGATTGTTTTGTTACCTTTGTTAATTTGTTTGCATCCTGATATCTGCCAAACGATATGTGGCGAAAAAAGACTGATTCAACGAGATATGTCTTGTCTATATTAAGATTTAAAACTTGTCGCATACTCTCAAGAAATGTTGGGAATAGAGAACTTAACGATAATACGTTGTGTTTTTACCAGTGGAAGGCAGAGAATCAAACTCACATAAAGGCCCATCTCCTACCAACCAATTTCAAGTTTCTACACTTCAAGCCTACAAATGGTGGCTTCGGGTGGCTTTGTATATCATTTTTCTTCTTGCTGGCCAATCTACTGCCACTCTATTGGGGAGATTATACTACGACAAAGGCGGGAACAGCAAATGGATGGCAACGTTGGTTCAGTCAGCCGGCTTCCCCATCCTGATTCCCCTCTTTTTTTTCTTCTCATCATCCAACACGTCCTCCAATCACGAGCCAGAAATGACACGATCTGAACACGAAGAACACAACTTGATTGCAACCCGACCATCATTCCATGCTCTTGTGTTGCTTTACCTCTTCTTTGGCCTTCTCTTGGCAGGTGACAACATGATGTATTCATATGGACTCCTATACCTTCCTGTATCCACCTATTCCCTCCTATGTGGAACCCAATTAGCCTTCAATGCTCTCTTCTCCTTCCTCCTAAATTCTCAAAAATTTACCTCTTTAATACTCAATTCTCTTGTCCTCCTTACCATCTCAGCCTCCCTTCTTGCAGTTCATGCAGAATCTGATAACACAACAGAAGTCCCTAAAGGGAAGTACATAATTGGATTCCTATGCACACTTGGGGCATCAGGTACATACTCACTATACCTTTCTCTAGTACAACTCTCATTCCAAAAGGTAATCAAGAGAGAAACCTTTGGTGCTGTCTTGGATTTGCAATTTTACCCATCATTTGTCACAACTTGTGCTTGTGTGGTGGGACTTTTCGCTAGCGGGGAATCGAAAAAATTGGGGAGAGAGATGAGAGACTATGACGAGGGGAAGGTGTCCTATGTGATGACACTGGTTTGGACAGCTGTGACATGGCAAATATCATCAGTGGGTTTGCTTGGATTGATCTTTGAGGTGTCTTCACTGTTCTCTAATGTGATTAGTACCTTGGCATTGCCTGCTGTTCCTGTTCTTGCGGTGATATTTTTCAATGACAAAATGGATGGAGTGAAGGGGATTGCTTTGCTGCTTGCTATTTGGGGCTTTCTTTCTTATGTCTATCAACAGTACCTTGATGATTCGAGATCGAAAAGAATGGTTTCTAATGCCAATGAGGCTTCTGATTCTCATACAGAACTCTGTTCAATGGTTGGTAATGGAACAAGGTTGAGGAAAGATAAAGAAATTACACAGCATGAGCAAAGTATGCAAGGGCTGGAAATTATTTGATTGATAATCTTGGGTCTTTTTTTGAATTAAACAAAAATAAACTTATGTAGAGTTCTTGAAATTGGGAGTTCTGCAAACACATCTTCCCGGAGACGGAAGGATATGCACCTAGTTTGTGACTTTAGGGCTCGTTTTGTTGTCATATCATTAAAAGTATTAGAGAATTGTATAGTATTAAAATACTTTAATATGGTGTCATACAACGTTTGGATGTCAAAAGTCACTCGGTATTGTGTATGATACTAAATCAAATACGTATACTAACTATATATTTTTAATACCACTTGAGTGGTGGTATTGTAATCCAATTAAAAAATATAATAATATAATTTTACTCTTTCGCCCAAAAAAACTACTATAACCCATGCACGTCTCTGATCCATAACATCTCTTGAATTAATAGACTTTCATTAAATATTAAAACTCATATCTAATCTAATGGCCACAATGAATTACGTCCTCATATTAGCCCCAAAATTAGGTCCCAAAAGCATTGCTTGTAAACTGTAGTATATAATGCTATGGATCAAAAAATTTGGTATAATTACATGATATAGATATTGTACGTTTGTGTTTTACAATCAACAACCTCTTTATTAATTACTTTAACTTAGGAAAAAAGAACAATTTTATTTGAATTATTATTATTGAATTGACAGTGAACTCTAGTATTAATTAAAATTTATTATTAATTCAACAGTTTTGATCATTACATTAATAAATTGTGTCCAAATAATATTTTCTTATGAAAAATAGTCCGAGAACTAGATTTAACTAATGATCAAACTCTCGTGTAGGATGTGAATATTCTCACCTTTGTTTCCAAATTTGTGCCACAGTGAAATAATTCAACACAATGTTCTCAATTTACTTTTTCTTTTCTTTTTTTCAACGTTCTCAATTTACTTTTTTTTATCAGAGTTCTCAATTTACTTGGCTAACCTAAAAAACAAAGAAAAAGGATTTTAAAAAAAAAAGAAGAAAGAAAATGAATTGGGTTATTGTAAGTAAGGCTTGGCAAACTACCCATGGCCACAGGGACAAGAACTAAAGCCCAACAGCCCATGGTACAATGGACCCTCCAACCGGTCATGTGGAAGCGGAGGTTAATCCAATGGTAAAAAAGAAAAATAGAAGTCGGTACAAAAATTTAAATTTATTTGAACTAAAATACAACATGGTAACTTATTTAGACTCAAGTGCATTTTTTTAGATAATGACCAGAACGCCATTAAATTGAAGGGAAAAATAGTGCAAAACCGATTTTGGTCCCAAGCGTCATCTTCGGCTCCATAAAAGAAAAAGGCAGAAAGTGAGGAAGCATAGATTACGTCCTATGGTCTTTAGCAAATTTAAAAATCAAAAATATTGCAAAGCTTTAGAAGACAAGAATCTCTGAAAAGTCAATAATGGATTACAATTTCAATTAGATTACTTTTTATATTTCAGATTTAAAATTTTTTGGTGAAATTGTTTGGTATATGTCATTGTTGTAACTCTTTGCTGTCACTGGATGGTGCGACTTTCAGGTGTAATACTTTTTTTGTGTTCCTATATGATGTACCTTGTTGGTTTAATTTTTTGATTCACCCAATTTGGTGTGTATAATTGATGTAATCACGTGGTGATACCGAATAGTGTAACTATTTAGTCTAACTATACAATTGAATGATGCAATGGATTGATTAGTGTAACTATTTTCAGAACATATGAATAACTATTTAGTATATTATCGGGTAATTGTAACTAATTGATGTCTTATAATTGGTGTAACTTCCTGGTCAAATTGTTTTTAGAACATATGAATAAATTATTGGTATATCATAGGACAATTGTAACCGGTTGTTATTGTATAATTTCAGTAACTTTTTAATGTAACTTTTTTCGTAACACATGAATAACTATTAGGTATATCATAAGACAATTTTAACTGATTGGTGTCTCACGATTGGTCTAACTATTTTCAAAACACATGAATAAATTATTGGTGTATCATAAGACAATGGTAACTGGTTGGTTTCGTATATAATCAGTACTGTTTAGTGTAACTATTTTCAAACCACATAAATAATTGTTTAGTGTATCATATGACAAATACAAATGACTGGTGTAAGTAATTAGTGTACTTGTTTGTTATCGTGTTAATATCAGATTATGACCAAATACCTAATTGGGGTAACTCTTTACCTTATCAGTTATTGGCATTAATAGGGCAATATACAAGACTTGCCAGCACACAATAGAGTTTACCATTACAATTATGAAAAGAGATACACCATAGTTGTTGTTTTCATAAGTTATAAGCTCCACGGTAATATGTCCACATAGAATGACTAAAAAATAATACAACAATGATAAAAAAAAACATAATATTAATAAAAAATAGTTAAATAGAATTTTATTAATTTTAAAAAGTAATCCAATCACATAAGCTCATTACAAGTGTTCTTGCGTCCACATCGAATTTGCCAAAAACATTTTTTCTTGACCTTATTCTACATTTTTTGGGTCGGTCTTTTTAGTTGATGGCAGCAAAATCTCAGTTTTGTCCACTGGATAACAAATATCTCACCATCATATTTGCATAAAAACAACAATATTTCCTCCATTCTTGAGTATGACAATAAAAAAATAAATGATATTTTATCTCATAACATAAACAGTTAAACCAAAGAGAATCAAACAATAACATTATTTAGATATTTTATAAGCATAAAATTTTGTTTTATTTTTTTACAGAAAGCCAAACATACAGTTTCGTCGTACTAAGGTGTACAATTGAAACCAAAAAAAAAATTGACAAAAAATATATTTCTAAAAAAANTTTTTTTGTGTTCCTATATGATGTACCTTGTTGGTTTAATTTTTTGATTCACCCAATTTGATGTGTATAATTGATGTAATCACGTGGTGATACCGAATAGTGCAACTATTTAGTCTAACTATACAATTGAATGATGCAATGGATTGATTAGTGTAACTATTTTCAGAACATATGAATAACTATTTAGTATATTATCGGGTAATTGTAACTAATTGATGTCTTATAATTGGTGTAACTTCCTGGTCAAATTGTTTTTAGAACATATGAATAAATTATTGGTATATCATAGGACAATTGTAACTGGTTGTTATCGTATAATTTCAGTAACTTTTTAATGTAACTTTTTTCATAACACATGAATAACTATTAGGTATATCATAAGACAATTTTAACTGATTTGTGTCTCACGATTGGTCTAACTATTTTCAAAAAANATTAACGTTAAATCGAAATTGATTGGTTGGAAAAAAATGTCCGCTAAAAAAAAAAATTATTAAAAACTTACATGCACTTTTGGTGGTGATGATAAAAAATTCGGAAACAAACAAAAATAAACAAAGAAGATCAAATGATTTATGCCGCAAACCGAAGAAGATGACTAAACGTAGAAGACTGATGTTTAATGNCTGTTTAGTGTAACTATTTTCAAACCACATAAATAATTGTTTAGTGTATCATATGACAAATACAAATGACTGGTGTAAGTAATTAGTGTACTTGTTTGTTATCGCGTTAATATCAGATTATGACCAAATACGTAATTGGGGTAACTCTTTACCTTATCAGTTATTGGCATTAATAGGGCAATATACAAGACTTGCCAGCACACAACAGAGTTTACCATTACAATTATGAAAAGAGATACACCATAGTTGTTGTTTTCCTAAGTTATAAGCTCCACGGTAATATGTCCACATAGAATGACTGAAAAATAATACAACAATGATAAAAAAAAAACATAATATTAATAAAAAATAGTTAAATAGAATTTTATTAATTTTAAAATGTAATCCAATCACATAGACTCATTACAAGTGTTCTTATTGTGGCTCTCTAATCGTCCACATCGAATTTGCCAAAAATATTTTTTCTTGACCTTATTCTACATTTTTTGGGTCGGTCTTTTTAGTTGATGGCAGCAAAATCTCAGTTTTGTCCATTGGATAACAAATATCTCACCATCATATTTGCATAAAAACAACAATATTTCCTCCATTCCTGAGTATTANTGTCCACTGGATAACAAATATCTCACCATCATATTTGCATAAAAACAACAATATTTCCTCCATTCTTGAGTATGACAATAAAAAAATAAATGATATTTTATCTCATAACATAAACAGTTAAACCAAAGAGAATCAAACAATAACATTATTTAGATATTTTATAAGCATAAAATTTTGTTTTATTTTTTTACAGAAAACCAAACATACAGTTTCGTCGTACTACGGTGTACAATTGAAACCAACAAAAAAAAATTGACAAAAAATATATTTCTAAAAAAAAGAGTTTCACCCATATGATAATCCTAAAAAAAAAACTGTTTCTCCCATGATAACCCTAAAAAAATAATTTCGCCTATAATAATCCTAAAAGAAACATTTATACGTCAAAAAAAATACCAAAAACCATAGGAGCAACTATGATTTTTTGCAATAACATAAAACATATAGTTTCATCCTACTATGATGTTCAATTGAAACCAAAGAAAAAAATGACAAAAAACATATTTCTAAAAAAATAGTTTCACCCATCCTAAAAAACCAATTTCACCCATGACAATCCTAAAAAAAACATAGGAGTTACATCAATAAAAATACATAACGTAAAAACCCAAAAAAATATATTAACGTTAAATCGAAATTGATTGGTTGGAAAAAAATGTCCGCTAAAAAAAAAAATTATTAAAAACTTACATGCACTTTTGGTGGTGATGATCAAAAATTCGGAAACAAACAAAAATAAACAAAGAAGATCAAATGATTTATGCCGCAAACCGAAGAAGAAGACTAAACGTAGAAGACTGATGTTTAATGCTGGACGTCAAATGCCAGACGTTGAAGATTGCTCGTTGAATGAAGCAGTTGAAGGCAGACTGAATACAAAAAATATAGTTCAAAATTCAAAAGAATGATAATATCTAATAAAATCTTCACATATTTGATTAAATATATAATTGTCAATCAATCATGCATAATTTTAGGGAGGGTAATTAGGTAAAATAAAACTAGTTTCATTTGAATTTTGTACCTAAATACAAGATATTTTATTAAAATTATAATCAATACAATAAACAATTTATTCATCCATTTTTTCTCCAATAAATCTAAAAAATTATACCTAAACCCAAAAAAACCCACAGCACAATGAATAAGGTTGGAGTCCATGGACCATGAGTTTGGCTCTTCTTGATCTGACGTATTTGAGCAAATATTATGTGAATCAAGGACTTGATTACGGAACCAAAGAAATAATGTTGGTACCGTATTTTTTACTTTTATCACTTTAATATGTTTTTTTATAATTTTTATGAATTATTTTATAAATAAAAATAATTATCACTTTTATAAGTGTTTTTATCACTGTTATAGATCTTTTTATTATATTTGTGAGAACTATTTTTATCACTTTTCTCTGGTACAAAAAAATTATTATATTTGTGGATATTTTTACTGCATTTATGAGTATTTTTACTAATGTTATGGTAATTATTTTTATCATTTTTTAGAGTACTGCAACAGTGATAAAAAAATTCACAAATATGATAAAAAAAAACTATAAATATAATAAATAGATGTATGCTACAATTTTTTTTTCAGTACAATAATCAACTCAGTGCACCAAATAAATGTAAGTTGTTAGATAATAATAACACTCACTAATCAAACAATTCACACATCCACTTCATGCACATAATAGAACTTGATTACGGTACGGCATAAATAATTTTGGTATCATATCTCTAATTTTTACCATCAATGGGTATTTTTTTATAATTTTTGTTGATCATTTAATAACCCAAATTTTATCTCTTTTGTGAGTGATTTATCACATTTGTGAATATTTTTACTACTATTGTGGGTGTTTTTATCACGTTTGTAGTAGTTATTATCATATTTGTGAGTATTTTTATCACTGTTATTGATGATGCACGAATTGGTATTGCGCAAGATTAACAGTCGAGTATATGAACGGGAGCAATTAATGAATAGTAAATAGTCAATTAATGGCAAAACCGTAATAAGAGTACACACGCAGATTTATAGTAGTTTGGTCCGGATGATCTACTCCACAATCAAAAACGATAACGGAAGAGTATATTCCAAGAGAATTACAATGCTTTTAGAGAAAGAAACTTGAGATGTAGAGAGGTGTGTGAGATGTAAAGGTCTCAAGGTGATGCCCTCTATATGGAGAAACACTTACATTATATAGGTATTGTGAGAAGATGAGGTGAGGCAGTCACTACTATTTTGGTAAGTACAATTAAAATAGGATTATATTTTCATACTTATCTCAATATTTTCTCCATCGTGCTCTTATTTTTTCGAGAGGAGGATCTTGAGTTGGATCGAACTGAGTCAAAGTGGCAAAATGAGAAGGTCAAAGGAGAGATAGGAGGGCCAACCCACAGGCAGCGCCCAGGCCCTTAGCGGCGCTAAGAGGTTGGGAGACCCCCTTGGACGGCTCCTTTGGGCGCTGGTGACTGGGGCTCTTTTTGGGCTCTGATGACTTGGCCTCTTTTGATTTGTTGGGTCTAACCTAGTTGATTTTTGACTTATCTATAATAATTATTTTTACTATTTTTTTGAGGTACTACAACGATAAAAAATCCATAAATTTTATAAAAATAACCACAACAACGATAAATGAAAATATAATACCGAAAAAAATATTTTTTAATACTATAGTCAACTCTTAATAAAACCTCAAAAATCATTTGACATGGGAATCATAAAAAAGTTTGGGAAATAGTATTTGGATTTTATTTAGAAATTTAATGATGTATAACAATTAAATTAATTATAAGTTCTATATAATATTAAAATTTACAATTAATTCAATAATTATATTAAAATCGCACCATTAAATTTTTAAATAACGTACCTACATAATTGCTCAAAGAGTTTTTAGCAGATTACGAATAAAAAATAACAAAGGAAAATGAGCCCGCCAATTTAATATTCAAAAACATTCAAAACCCCCTGAGACCCCGACAGCAAATATAAAATGAGACCCCCCACGTGGCGCACTTCAATCAGCAACAACGCATATCACTCTCAAGTCAAACAATAATAAAAAAAAAGAAAAGAAAATAGGTCTCATCACATTCGTCTGCGTCTTCTTCTTCTCTCTTTTCGCTGGTTTTGCTATATTCGTCTCCTTTATCGCTGGTTTGAACTCTCACTCTCAGGCTAGGGATAGGGTTTCTTCCCAGATGGAGAGCGTAATTTGGCTCGTCAACCGTTTGCAGAGAGCTTGTACGGTCCTTGGGGACCACGGCGATGATCGCAATTTGCCAACGCTTTGGGACGCTCTTCCCACCATCATCGTCGTCGGAGGACAGGTTCGACTTCTCCATCTCTCTGTGTCTATGTGTAGAAACACAGATATACGTACACACACGCACACTCACGTATACATGTATACGCTTACATTTGCGGATACTGTTCTTCTGTTTCGCTGTGTACTGTGTACTGTGTTGGTTAGGCTTTGATTTTGGATTTTTGAGTGATGCTTTTGGTGTGGATTTGTAGAGTTCTGGAAAGTCTTCTGTGTTGGAGAGCATCGTTGGGCGTGATTTTCTGCCCAGAGGATCAGGTTTCGAATCTTTTATTAGCAAGTTATATGGATTTAATGTTTTGTGTTTGCTTTGTTGCTGTTATCGTCTTTACTTCGATTCACAAGTCTGTTTGCTGCTTAGAAAATTTGCGGAAACCACGCAGATTCTCGTTGTAGGTTTTGTGCTCTTTTGGTTACTGGAAAAATAGCATAATTGAAATTCGGTATGGCTGTCGAGTTAGTGAGATANATTTGCGGAAACCACGCAGATTCTCGTTGTAGGTTTTGTGCTCTTTTGGTTACTGGCAAAATAGCATAATTGAAATTCGGTATGGCTGTCGAGTTAGTGAGAAAGTGTGAAAAATAGATCAAAGTTATTGGCATTATCTTTTTTGTATTTAATTCTTCGCCTCAGAGATGGAAACTTGCTCTTTATGACTCCTAAATGTGTATATTTGTTTTATTTGACTTGAGTTTTCATTTGAAAACCCAGACAATGGAAATTTATGTATTTAACTTTTCGGATAATTTGGCCTTTGTTTTGTAAGCTTCAGAATAGATGGCTATTTATCCAACTGCCTGTCATGGTGTTTTCAGACACTCAAGTTCTCTGTTTCAATTAAAGCACTATACAATGACTGGTGAATTTTGAATTTCAAGATCTTTTTATTTTTTATTTTTTCATCCTTAATGTTCTATATTGTCTTTGCTCGTAGGGATTGTGACGAGGAGGCCGTTGGTATTGCAGCTTAACAAGACAGAGCAAGGGCAGGAGGACTACGCACAGTTTCTTCACACTGGAAATAAAAAGTTCACCGATTTCTGTATGGATTCTTATGCAGAAGCTGTGATAATCATTCATTGTTTGATATGTACAGAATATTCTATGCGGATCTGACTTTTATGTCGATTTGCTTCTGTATCCCATCTTATAATTTAATCTTGCTCTTACATCATTGTGCATATTAAGCTGCTTTACTTGTTGCACATTTCTTTGATATGATTACTCGTCTGGTTGTTTTATTTTTTAAGAGATGTGCAGTTGGATCTAATCTTCTGTCTCTATGGTTTTCTTACCAAGCTATGGTGCGGTCAGAAATCCAGGCCGAAACTGACAGGGTAACTGGGAGGACAAAGCAGATTTCTTCACTTCCTATTAATCTTAGTATCTACTCCCCAAATGGTGCGGTCTCCTTTTTTTTTTTCTCCTTTCAAAATTAATTATATAAACGGTCCCCCATTATTTTCCATCTAGTTTTTTTTCTTAGCCGCATGGTGANCAAAATTAATTATATAAACGGTCCCCCATTATTTTCCATCTAGTTTTTTTTCTTAGTTGCATGGTTAGTCTGCACTAGCATAATAGCTCCTATGGCAATAAACTACTAGATAGTGCAGTAGTTGACAGCTTGCATTATCTTTTTCCAATCATGAACTTCACCCTTTTTCTTAGTGCATTTTCATGTGTCCTATTTGTTTTTTAGATTTTTGCTGGGTGTTGATGCTCAATTTGGATCACATTTAATTTTGTACATGCTGTCTTATAATATATATTCAGGTTTATCATGGATGTTCCATATATACTCTGAGGCACTTATTTAATTTTAGGAACTCATGCTAAGTGCTTTTCTCCTGGCTGTAGTATATGGTAGGCTGATTTTTGCCACATGTGGCCATTATGATTTCATGATTTTTTTTATTGTGCTTGTTTGTTGCTTTACTAAGTTTTCTCCTCCCTCTTTTTTTGTTGTGCTTGTTTGTTGCTTTACTAAGTTTTCTCCTCTTTTTTTTTTGTTATNCATGTGGCCATTATGATTTCATGATTTTTTTTATTGTGCTTGTTTGTTGCTTTACTAAGTTTTCTCCTCCCTCTTTTTTTGTTGTGCTTGTTTGTTGCTTTACTAAGTTTTCTCCTCTTTTTTTTTTTTTTGTTGTGCTTGTTTGTTGCTTTACAAAGTTTTCTCCTCTCTTTTTTTGTTGTTCATGTTTGTTGCTTTACAAAGTTTTCTCCTCTGACAATATTTTATGGTTTATTCTACTTGGCAGTTGTTAATTTGACACTGATAGATTTACCCGGTTTAACAAAGGTTGCTGTAGGTATGTTATTTTATCCTTTTCCCCATGTATGCTGACCTACCCAGGTTGCTAGTTTTGTAATTTATAACCCCCGAAAATGGATTACTAAAGCAGCTGGTCATTGACAGAGGGACAGCCAGAGAATATTGTTCAAGAAATTGAAAGCACGGTTCGTTCCTACATACAGAAGGTATTGGGCATTTTATTTGCAAGCCAAAGTCCAAGTTTTTTACTCATGCATATATACTCTTCCTCGGGTTGAATAAAAAAGCAGATATCGTAGAGAGATTGTTGAAAAGGCTATGATAATGATGGGTTCATGGATGCTGTGAATATTCCTGTTCTAGTGTCTGTTTTTCAGGGACATGGAACATGCTTTTTCAACTGAAAACAATTGAAATTAGATTGGAGTTGGACATAAATTTGGTTTTTGATATTTTTATTCACGAATTTCCTCAACTTAATTGATGGACTTCTGGTTCTTGGTTTGTAGCCGAATTGCATCATTTTAGCCATAACTCCAGCAAATCAAGATATTGCAACATCTGATGCTATTAAACTTGCTCGAGAAGTTGATCCAACAGGTATTCTCTGCACATCTTATCTTTCTTGACTCAACTTATTATTTTCAGTTGATAGTGTTGNAATCAAGATATTGCAACATCTGATGCTATTAAACTTGCTCGAGAAGTTGATCCAGCAGGTATTCTCTGCACATCTTATCTTTCTTGACTCAACTTATTATTTTCAGTTGAAACGTCATCAGTGCAACATCTGTGTGCTTATATAATGACATCATGCTCTTTTAAGGTGAACGGACATTTGGCGTGCTGACAAAGCTTGATCTCATGGATAGGGGAACAAATGCGTTGGACGTAAGTTTGATTACCTTCTCTGACAATTTTTACTGAAAATTCTAGGGGGCGAAAGAGTCCTATTATTGTTTTATATTAAAAGTATTCGTAGTCCTAGGAATTTGGAGGTTGGTATCCAGCTCCCAACCCACATACAGAGAGAGAAGCAAAGACATCCATGCTGCAGGTAGGAATCAAAGTGGATGGAGATTAATGGCTGAGGTGGTCACAGTGAGTATAAATGTACCTAATGTTCAAGGTGACACCTGCTGACTGCCAAAGGTTTGGTTGTTGATGGTGTTGTGGAAGGGAGCAGAGCTGATAGAAGAGGTAATGGATCTGATAGAGAGCAGTGGCATGAATAGGGTGGAATGCTATTGCTGATTGAAAAGGTGGCTGCAGTCCGTGAATAAGGCTCTGAAAGTTTTGGTTAATTTTCAAACGCTGATGATTTTTGAAGAGTATTTGATGGTAGAGATAGTTGTGCTTGATGTTAACTGTACTGGAGATAATGGAGGCCCCTCCTTTTTCCTGCTTAGGTTTAGGGTAATTTTGTTTCACTGCATATAAATGCTGAAATTTACGAAGTTATTTCTATTTCATGCAAACCACAGTCAAATGAAGGATGTAGTGTGCTCTTCTAATGTTATGCAAAACCGTCTATGGATGTTCTTCTTAGATGGGTTGTTGAACTTGTTGTTTCCTTGTTGCCTTAGAATCCATCATTTTTCGAGTGGCATTAGGCATTCACAATGCTTGTACTGGTTTTTATGCAATGGAATCTGTTCATGACTTCACAATTAGCTTGAATTTTGTTTGGACATGATTGTTTCCAATATGGTGATACCGTGATCGTATGAATATCTGTGAACATTTTTTCATTGTGTGTTCTGTAAGGTTTACTCATGCAAGCCACTGACATCAAATAACCGTCCGTGTAGACTATTGCCACTCTCTCTCTCTAACCCAGTAGTGATTGGGGTGCTATATTGAAGGTTCTCGAAGGAAGATCTTATCGATTGCAACATCCTTGGGTTGGAATTGTGAATCGTTCACAGGCTGATATAAATAGAAACATTGACATGATTGCTGCACGGCGTAAGGAGCGGGAATTTTTTGCCACCAGTTCTGAGTATGGGCACTTAGCCAGCAGAATGGGTTCTGAATATCTTGCAAAACTGCTTTCAAAGGTACACTTTGTACTACTTGTTTTCACTTTGCCGTAAATATTCTCTACCCAGTTCGTTAAAGGGTATATCTGTATATGGAATGGTTGTACTCTTATGAGTGGATTTTGTTTCAGAATCTGGAGTCTGTAATTAAGGCTCGAATACCGGGTCTTGTGTCTTTGATTAACAAAAACATTGATGATCTTGAAGCAGAGCTTGACCACCTTGGTAGGCCTTTGGCTCTTGATGCAGGGGTGAGGAGCTTTTATCTGGTTTATTCAATTATGCTATGTTGTGTTCTGGTCAAAGTTCACTTTTTTACTGGTTTTCTCATGTTGCAGGCCCAGTTATACACCATTTTAGAGCTCTGCCGTGCATTTGACCATATATTTAAGGAGCATCTTGATGGAGGGTAATATATAATTTTTGTTGGCCTCTGCTGCAACCTTCCCCTCTCCCCCCCCCCCCCCAACAAAAAAAAAACCCAAAAAAAACATTAAGATCTAAAAGGGGTAAAAGAGACAGCTACTCTGGAATCATAAATCATCAAAAGATTATATGTTAATGTACTTGTATTTTCTATTTACTCTACTATTTTCATTGTCAGGCGACCTGGAGGAGATCGAATTTATGGTGTTTTTGACTACCAGCTCCCTGTTGCTCTAAGGAAGCTTCCATTTGATCGTTATCTTTCACTGCAAAATGTGAGGAAAGCCGTCTCTGAGGCAGATGGATACCAACCTCATCTGATTGCACCCGAACAAGGTTACCGACGCCTAATTGAAGGTGCCCTTAATTATTTTAGAGGCCCAGCTGAAGCTTCAGTAGATGCAGTACGTGCTTGTTATCTTTCGTGCCATCTCCTTGTTGCTATTATGATGGATTCTTGTGGTGAATGGCCATTGTACTTGTGGCCTCCTAATGTTGTTCAAGCATGTTTTCCTTCTGAGATGTCTCAGAGAAGGATATCCTAGTATGCCATTAACGGAAGGTCCCCTGGAACATTAAGGGCGCTGTGTTCATTTCAGGCATTGAGATTAGCTTAATAAGTGTCTTAAGAAATCGTATTAGTCAAAAAGCTGATAAAATGTATGGTTCTGGGTTCATTTCCGACGCTACTGAATCACAGAATTGATTCCATGTACATATTTGCTTTCTCCCCAAAAGCCATTGAATGTTTAAATTCTAATTGAACACTATTATTTCATATTTTAGGTCCACTTCATTCTGAAGGAACTTGTGAGAAAGTCAATCGTAGAAACTCAGGTTTGAAATTTCAAAACTGCACTATTTTCTGGGCTGTTAAGGATCAAAACTATGCATATGTAATTGACATTCTGACTGCAGGAGTTGAGGCGTTTTCCAACTCTTCAAGCCGACATAGCAGCGGCTGCCAATGAAGCATTAGAGAGGTTCCGTGATGACAGTAGGAAAACTGTGTTACGGATGGTGGACATGGAATGCTCATACATTACTGTTGATTTCTTCCGGAAACTTCCCCAGGAAGTGGAGAAGGGTGGAAATCCTACTGCTTCTACTGCAGATCGCTACACAGAAGGTCACTTCCGGAGGATAGGTTCAAATGTTTTATCTTATGTTGTGATGGTGTCCGAGACACTCAGGTACACCATTCCAAAAGCCGTGGTTTATTGTCAAGTTCGTGAGGCTAAGCAATCTTTACTAGATCACTTTTATACCCACTTGGGCAAAAAGGAGGTATTCGACTCTCTCACTCACATACCTACAGTATATCAGATATCATCCTTGTTCTGAATTTGTTGGTCTCACTATAGGTTCTCTTTATGAAGTTGATAAGAATTTCATCGATGTTTTGATACATGACAAAATATGCTAATCTAATGTGGTTGAATCTATTTTGGCCCGAATCCAATCCTTTGAAGGGTCTAGTATACTCAAACTCCTTTGTAAACATCATGGTGGCCGCGATAAGCTTAGAGGGTGGTGATTAATTGTTTGCATTCTCACTCTGTAGGGCCAGCAGCTTGCACATTTACTGGATGAAGATCCAGCGTTACTGGAGAGAAGGCAGCAATGTACAAGGAGGCTTGAGTTGTACAAGTCTGCAAGGGATGAAATTGATTCAGAGTTGTGGGCAAGATGAGTATCGACTTTTGTGTAGAGATACTTCTGTTACAGATCTTCCTTGTGGTATATTGGATTTAGACTTTTAAGTTTGATTGGTGGCACTCAGCTGCCTAGGTTGGCATTCTATTTGATATTTCTTTCGATGCTGACACTTTATTGCAAAAGGCTCGGTCTTAGTTCCACAAGGTTGCAATCAAGCCACCACGTGGATTATGTAGTCTGGGCGGGTTGTCCTTCTCGAGGAGTGGATGGGGACATAGAGAAATTTTAATTTTGACACAACATGATGACTTACAAGACACAACTTATGTTACCCTTACCCAAAAAACAAATCCATTCCCAAACATACTTGGAATTATTTACCAATGTACAACCGTTTTCAAATAAATTTATTAATTTACAGTAATTTTAAACGTATTTTTTAATCTATGACATTTTTTTAAAATAGAGTTAACAAATCCGTTTTCAAATGGACTTCATCATAATTTTAAAAAGTGGATTTGTTGACTCTATTTTTAAAAAGTGTCAGTAAAAAGTGAAAGTGGATTTGATGGTGATTAGGCTTTCAAAAAGTGCTTTAGATTGAACAGCTAAAATGCCTGTGAATCAGCAGTTATATATTAGTAAATAATTCAACAGACTTGGCTCAATCCCCTATCACCTTCAGAATGATACAAGAAATCATCTGAAAATCACAAATAAGGTGGGTTCGTAGGCCAGCAGATGATAGAAATGTATTTGTTACAAAGTAAATGTGCCCTTAGTAGGGACATTACAGATAAAATGCCTGTGAATCAGCAGTCATTCTTCCTTCTAGTAACTGGAGAACAGCTAAAAATGGAGATACAATGATATAGGAAATGAATCTGGGGAGGTGATCTTGCAACTAAGAGGATGTAACAGCTCCTCTACGGCATAATTATTCAGATAGTCCCCTGTTTTTACTATAAAATTGTCTGTATAACCTTAGTAATGTTTCAAGTAGAACCTGTTGCTGCACCTGCCTTTCTATCAAGCTCTTCCAAAGCTGCCCACAATTTTGGATCTTCGTAGTCCTTTATAAGAAACGTTGGTTTCGCTTTCATCAGTAAGTGATCCGGGTTTCTGGTCGTTAAGCCCACAACGGGCAACCCAGCTGCCACCCCGGCTTTTATTCCTGAAACAGAATCCTGAAAGAGCAAACCACAAAATATAAGCATTATGGAATTTTCAGCTCACTACTGAAAAACATGAGGGTCCTGACAGAAGTCAAACCTCAAAGACAACAGTGTGATCTTTGGACACGTTAAGTACTTCAAGAGCCTTTAAGTATGGGTCCGGGAATGGTTTGGCACGCGCACAGTCACTCCCAAGGATAACAGCCTCGAAGAAATCAGAAAGGCCAAGAAGTGAGATCATCAGTTCAGCATTTAGTCTAGGAGCATTAGTAACAGCAGCTCGTTTCAAACCACGATCTTCAATCCATTTCATCAATTTGTAAAGACCATTTATAGGTTGCACTTGCTCCTTGGCCAATCTGTGTTCTCCATCAAATGTCTATGTTCTTTAGCAAGTGTTCTCTACCAAACAAATCACAAGATTGGAGCTTGAAAAATTCTCAATAAAAAAGAAATGAAGGTTTCACCTTCTATACATGGCCTCCTTATCCTCCAAGAACTTTACACCCCTTGGGTGATCATCTGGGAAGAGGAAAGAAGCAATGTCTTCATTGTGATTTCCAGCAATATGCTGAACAAAGAAGTCCTCAGTAATTGGAACACCACCATTGAAGCCTATCTGTCATACACCCTCGTCTTTATTAGTCCCCAAAATCAATGCCCACAAACCATGATTTTACATCTCATTCAAGTTACAAGATCTAACGCGAATGTAATAGAAATGGTCAGATTCTTGAACCCGAAACTATCTCTTTCAATGATAATGGAGAGGGAAAAAAATAAGACTCTACCTCTTGAAGCATTTCCCGGAAAGCATAATAGTGGAGAGGATCTGAATCACAGAGAGTTCCATCAACATCGAATAGTACTGCTTCGAGAGGGGCAAGTCCAGAGAGAGAACATTTGCTGCTTACAAAAAATCAAGGCAATAATCAGTTTTTCTTTGCTCCCACAGAATCAAAAGCAGATAGGACATGTTTTTCTTTTTTTTTTTTTTTTTTTTTTTAATTCCCCGAAATAAAAACCAAAACTACATAGGGATTTCATGACACCAGATTGTAGTTTTGCATTACAAATCTATATCCCTAATCCCAGATACTTGGTGCACATAAACAGAAATTTTAATGAGCTATACCCACACTGATGCTAATCTTTTAAATTAAAGGAAAGGCCCTAATCAACAAACAGATACCAAAAACAAAAATCGATTATATAGACTTAAAACCCACAAGTTTCTCAAGAAGTCATTCATACTTATATGATTCAATCAATTAAAGAAGGAAAAATATCATCAATGCAATTTTTTTTTGTGTCAGACACCATTATAGGGAGGAGGACAACGAAATTCAAACCCGCTATCTTAACATCCAGCAGGCGTTGGCCATTCGGCCAACAGCTATCCTCATTAGCAATGCGAATCAAAGAACAACTTACAAGAATAAATTCAATAAACAAGAAAATGTAAATTATAATGTTCTGTGTGAAACCCAACACATCTCCAAAATGCAAACATAGATGTAAAAACATAAGCACAACCATACGAGAGAGAACCAAAAATGGGAGTTTTCGCAATAACAAATTGTTCTCGTTGGAAGAAAACTCGTAAATTTTCAAATCATTTTTTGTCAGATAAAAAATATAAATGGGAAAAAAAATAATTGTTCCTGAAAAATATCAAATCCTTGATGAACAAATCTTGGGGAATAATTACAGAATCAAAGCACACAAAATGAGGTATATTAACATGCATAATTACCTGTCTACCGAGTTTTCTCCAGACATCATGCAATGGTTAAAAGACAATTTCCGAAGCGGTTTCTACGAACAATTGTTCCTGAGAAATGGGTATTTGAGAGCTCAGGGAAAAGAGAACGAATAGTGGTTATATAGAGAGAGAGAGAGAGAGAGAGAATCTTCCACGAATCTGAAGAAGCGCGAAAGATGCCAAATGGTGTGTCCGACTTTGTCTAGAAAATATACATCGCAATTAGGTTCATCTTGTTTATTTAAAATTTTATTGTTGGTCCTGGGCAACATGATATCATCATCCTTACATTCAATATTTACTCAACGGTCTCACTCTATTTCCTTATTTTTGGCAAATGTTATAAGCCTCCCCTGAATTTTACAATTTATACGGACAACCCGCCATCCCTATACATTTAGGGTCTATGTATAAGATTTAGGCGGTATAAGTTTTATAATATTTCACTCCAATCCAATAATATATTATATCCGGTCTTAAACCATAATTTCATCATTTCCCTTGTTTGTTTGTCATAAACATTATCTTCGTAATACCTACTTAAAAAAATCAAAAATTACAACTACTCAATATAAAAAGATAATTGTAACCTTAAAAAAGTCAAAAATTACAACTAACTTTTATATGGAGCATTGTACATTAGGGCATTTGAGTCTTTTTACTCTATTATACCTCCATAAAATTTATACCGAGAATATTATACCACTGGGTAGGTGGTATTACTTAGCACCGTATATAAGACATAAGAGTTATTGTTCACACTGAGTTAGTACTATGACCCCGAAATTAATACCGAGTAAAAAATATCAAACAAACAAGATATAAGATAGGTTCTNGTCTTTATTAGTCCCCAAAATCAACGCCCACAAACCATGATTTTACATCTCATTCAAGTTACAAGATCTAACGCGAATGTAATAGAAATGGTCAGATTCTTGAACCCGAAACTATCTCTTTCAATGATAATGGAGAGGGAAAAAAATAAGACTCTACCTCTTGAAGCATTTCCCGGAAAGCATAATAGTGGAGAGGATCTGAATCACAGAGAGTTCCATCAACATCGAATAGTACTGCTTCGAGAGGGGCAAGTCCAGAGAGAGAACATTTGCTGCTTACAAAAAATCAAGGCAATAATCAGTTTTTCTTTGCTCCCACAGAATCAAAACCAGATAGGACATGTTTTTCTTTGTCTTTTTTTTTTTTTTTTTTTTTTTAATTCCCCGAAATAAAAACCAAAACTACATAGGGATTTCATGACACCAGATTGTAGTTTTGCATTACAAATCTATATCCCTAATCCCAGATACTTGGTGCACATAAACAGAAATTTTAATGAGCTATACCCACACTGATGCTAATCTTTTAAATTAAAGGAAAGGCCCTAATCAACAAACAGATACCAAAAACAAAAATCGATTATATAGACTTAAAACCCACAAGCTTCTCAAGAAGCCATTCATACTTATATGATTCAATCAATTAAAGAAGGAAAAATATCATCAATGCAATTTTTTTTTGTGTCAGACACCATTATAGGGAGGAGGACAACGAAATTCAAACCCGCTATCTTAACATCCAGCAGGCGTTGGCCATTCGGCCAACAGCTATCCTCATTAGCAATGCGAATCAAAGAACAACTTACAAGAATAAATTCAATAAACAAGAAAATGTAAATTATAATGTTCTGTGTGAAACCCAACACATCTCCAAAATGCAAACATAGATGTAAAAACATAAGCACAACCATACGAGAGAGAACCAAAAATGGGAGTTTTCGCAATAACAAATTGTTCTCGTTGGAAGAAAACTCGTAAATTTTCAAATCATTTTTTGTCAGATAAAAAATATAAATGGGAAAAAAAATAATTGTTCCTGAAAAATATCAAATCCTTGATGAACAAATCTTGGGGAATAATTACAGAATCAAAGCACACAAAATGAGGTATATTAACATGCATAATTACCTGTCTACCGAGTTTTCTCCAGACATCATGCAATGGTTAAAAGACAATTTCCGAAGCGGTTTCTACGAACAATTGTTCCTGAGAAATGGGTATTTGAGAGCTCAGGGAAAAGAGAACGAATAGTGGTTATATAGAGAGAGAGAGAGAGAGAGAATCTTCCACGAATCTGAAGAAGCGCGAAAGATGCCAAATGGTGTGTCCGACTTTGTCTAGAAAATATACATCGCAATTAGGTTCATCTTGTTTATTTAAAATTTTATTGTTGGTCCTGGGCAACATGATATCATCATCCTTACATTCAATATTTACTCAACGGTCTCACTCTATTTCCTTATTTTTGGCGAATGTTATAAGCCTCCCCTGAATTTTACAATTTATACGGACAACCCGCCATCCCTATACATTTAGGGTCTATGTATAAGATTTAGGTGGTATAAGTTTTATAATATTTCACTCCAATTCAATAATATATTATATCCGGTCTTAAACCATAATTTCATCATTTTCCTTGTTTGTTTGTCATAAACATTATTTTCGTAATACCTACTTAAAAAAATCAAAAATTACAACTACTCAATATAAAAAGATAATTGTAACCTTAAAAAAGTCAAAAATTACAACTAACTTTTATATGGAGCATTGTACATTAGGGCATTTGAGTCTTTTTACTCTATTATACCTCCATAAAATTTATACCGAGAATATTATACCACTGGGTAGGTGGTATTACTTAGCACCGTATACAAGACATAAGAGTTATTGTTCACACTGAGTTAGTACTGTGACCCCGAAATTAATACCGAGTAAAAAATGTCAAACAAACAAGATATAAGATAGGTTTTATGTACTATTTTCCTTATACCACCCCCTTAGATCACCCTTATACCTCAAACAAACAGGCCCTTAATTTCTCATCACTTCCCCGAGGGACGAAAAAAAAAATCCTAATGGATTTTTCAAGTAATAATAGTAACAAGTTATAAATTTAAATATCTTAAATTTAAATTTTGATAAATTTTTGACATCAAATCATAAGGAATTTATTTATCATGAATCTCCTAATCTCGACGTGGAATATTTTAAGTTATTTGATTCCTTTCTCAAACCCATGATATTTAAAACAATAAAAATGACATCATTACCGACCTTCATTAAAAAAACGTAATTATTTCCGAAGTGAAATTAAACAAATTCCGACAAACATGAAGGCCTACAATCAAATCTCAATGCGCTAGGAATTTAACTTATATATATATATTAGGTTTGTTTGAATCTTGACTTTATTATTAATTTATATAGTAATATTTTGAACTCAAAAAAATTTATTTAGGTTGATTGAAGAAATTAATTTTTTAAACTTTTATTTTGATTTTTTGGAGTTTTATCACGGATCACACATAATTTTTTAATTTATTATATTCATAAAATAATATTGGTGACGTAAAAAAATTTAAAATTCATATTTTGAGAACAGTTATGCATAATTTATATATATATGTAATTATTTTTTTATTGACACAAAAAAAAATATAAAAAGTCACTTTGAACGAATTTTTCCAAAATTTTTAATTTTTTAAAAAACACCGCAAACAATTTTAATGGATTTTTCAAACAGTAACTTCTCACTTAAAAAAAAATCAGCTCCNTTTGAACTCAAAAAAATTTATTTAGGTTGATTGAAGAAATTAATTTTTTAAACTTTTATTTTGATTTTTTGGAGTTTTATCACGGATCACACATAATTTTTTAATTTATTATATTCATAAAATAATATTGGTGACGTAAAAAAATTTAAAATTCATATTTTGAGAACAGTTATGCATAATTTATATATATATGTAATTATTTTTTTATTGACACAAAAAAAAATTTAAAAAGTCACTTTGAACGAATTTTTCCAAAATTTTTAATTTTTTAAAAAACACCGCAAACAATTTTAGTGAATTTTTCAAACAGTAACTTCTCACTTAAAAAAAAATCAGCTTCNTTTGATACAAACAACAATAAATTGTGAGGAAAACCTTACTATGGTAAAGAAAACAAAAATTGTAGACATAGGTGGTCCAAGTTGCTTTGACAGCATACTAAATTTTTTACTTTTAAATCTTGTAACTTTTAATACAGTACCAATGTTAATACCATCCTAATAGATATCAATTAGTTTATCTTTTTTTTTTTTAGTTCAACAGTTAAGAGTGTCCGAATCAACTTCCTCGCATCTTGACTAATTCTCTTCTCTGTCCAGTCAAAGGCATGTCATCCACGCTAAAATTAAGAAATTCATAAAAAATAAATCCCTCATGGTCTGTCCCCACTCGAGCTACCGTTGGNTTTTTTTTTTTTAGTTCAACAGTTAAGAGTGTCCGAATCAACTTCCTCGCATCTCGACTAATTCTCTTCTCTGTCCAGTCAAAGGCATGTCATCCACGCTAAAATTAAGAAATTCATAAAAAATAAATCTCTCATGGTCTGTCCCCATTCGAGCTACCGTTAGNTATTCACATCATAGGCAGATTAAAACTCACATATTCAATTCCAACAATAGTTCAAGTAATAACAGAGACGAACTGTAAATTTAAACATCTTGAATTTGAATCTTCACAACCCCTTGAGATTAAGTTATAAGAAATTTATCCCCCGTTAATAAATCTAATCCTAGCGTGGATGGTCTGATTTTGAAATGACCAAAGAGGAGATTGGTTAGTCAAAATACGCGTAAACTGGACCAAACATCCCTAACTATTAAAAAAAAAAAAAAAGTCACATATTCACATCTTATTGATTTATCATAGTGGATTTACTTGTCTATATATCGTTCCATTGGATTTTTTTATAAAACAATGTTATGCATACCAAAAGTATGCATCAAATTATCTACAAACCTCGAACGAGTGGATCTTATAACTAATCTAACGGTTGTAAATGATTTAATGCACACTTTTAGTACACATAATTATTGAATACACACCCAACTCTTATCTTTATATTTTTTTAAATATAATTTTTAATTTATTGGTGATTGCATAAATGGGGCTTGGTTATATTATTGTATTCGAAAAATGTATTTAGACTTTTTAAAATAGAAATGTGTTGTACAAATTGGTTTCACATTCAAAAGTGTGAATTTAAACTACATTTTGATACAAACAACAATAAATTGTGAGGAAAACCTTACTATGGTAAAGAAAACAAAAATTGTAGACATAGGTGGTCCAAGTTGCTTTGACAGCATACTAAATTTTTTACTTTTAAATCTTGTAACTTTTAATACAGTACCAATGTTAATACCATCCTAATAGATATCAATTAGTTTATCTTTTTTTTTTTTAGTTCAACAGTTAAGAGTGTCCGAATCAACTTCCTCGCATCTTGACTAATTCTCTTCTCTGTCCAGTCAAAGGCATGTCATCCACGCTAAAATTAAGAAATTCATAAAAAATAAATCCCTCATGGTCTGTCCCCACTCGAGCTACCGTTGGGTTACCAATTAATTTATCACAAAACCGAAAAATCTAAAATGAGGGTTAGAAGATAGAACATTAGCCTGCTAGACAAGGCTTGGCCAAGAAAGTTTGGACAAACTCTATTCAAGGCTACGTTTGAAATAGTCCAGCCTAACTCAACCACGACTATTTATCTTATTAATATTGTATACGTATATTATATTTCTTTATTATATTATGAGAATTTTTATCTCTTCAAAGAAACAAAAAAAAAAAGTTAAAGAAATAAAATAAAAATTAAAAGATTTAAAAACAATGGGCAGCCCATGATTGGGCCGGGACAAGCAAAATGGCCCGAGGACTGGTTGATCTTAAAAATAGAACTGGAAGGTCAATCTGGACAGGCCCAAACATATGGTTGGCCTGGCCCAGGCCATGGCTAGCCCTCCAACTAACCTTCTTTTGTCCTCGGATGCAAATTGGGCCATTGCTTTTTGGTCCCAGGAACATCATACAGTCTTTTTCCTTTTGAAGAGTGGTGTGGTATACTTCACCCATACACGACGAGTGATTCATTATCGAGCAAAATTGAGAAAAGAAAGACCTGATTTCTGAGTTGACACCTGTGAAAGAGATATATCAACAACGATTAGCATACCGACTTCAAACATTGTAATACCAATAATATCCCTATAATGCAAGTCCTAATCCTGACAGGGTGAGGGGTCCAAAATTTAAATGGTTTCCAGGTCATGGCTGATGTGTTTCAATCCAATGGACTTGATTCATGTTGTGTACCTACCTCTCTCTTCACTGTCATGATCAATAATTTTCAATTTAGCTCAACTCAGGGTAGAAACAACAAGCTAATTTGTACATATGCTGGAAAGAATGGTAACTAACAATCACTAGGTGGCTGCAGGCCTAGATGTGATTAGCAAACACGGGTTCGAGTCTTGTAATCTGCGTCTCAAAAATATTAGTAAAGCTACCTACCACCTATCACTCAGAGACTTTTAATATAGGCAAGAGTCATGTATAAAGGATAATGACATTTTCCGTTCATGTGCACTGGACATTTTACCTCTTTTTCACATGCATTAACTGTTTTAGCAGTAGTAGTAATTTGATAAAGAGATGGATGTTTCCTCACATCTTTCATAGCCGTCCACCGAGAAACCAAATTCACTGTTGTGATTTTCTCACTAAGTGGGAACATCAACAGGTTCTTCACATGAGATTCTTTAGTGCAAGACCACCTAACTCACCCTCCCACTTTCTTTCTATTCAAGCAAACCTATCGCTATTCTATATTTCTCAAAGTAAGATATCTTTGGTCTCAAACCACTCTCTCTCTCTCTCTCTCTCTCTCTCTCTCTCTCTCATACACAGACACGCTATCATATGGTGAGTTCAAGGTCAATCTCCTCGCACCCTGGTTCAGACTATTACAAGTCCAAATGAGCTAAGGAATTAAGATGCAAACATTTTCCAGCTTATAGATAATGCTTTTGACGTGAACATTACGAACTACTAAAGTATTTTTTATGGTGAAAATCAAGGTCCAGACGCATAGAAAATTGTCAAAGGAATAAGATGATAATGACATTTTAGAACTTTGTACTTCAACATGAGAAGGAGAAGTTCAATAAACAACATGCAAGAGAATGTCAAAAATTGGTTTTCTATGTTGTGAAAACAACTAATGCTCAAGTCTAAGAAGGTTGCTAAGGAAAAATCTTAGCAAAATCTCATTCATTCAGATGAACCTGAACCAGCCGTCAAAGTCATTAGTTTTACCAAAATGAAGGTGGTTGATGGTTTAGTATACTATAAATAGCACAAACTTCAATTTCTTCATGCACTACCAAATTCTCTTCGTTGTTTTCCTTGTTTTTGCTACAATGGCTCCTCTGCAGGCTCTTGCCATCCTTTTTGCAACTTCTCTTTTTATACAAAATCTTGGAGATGCTGCGACATGTAGTGACTGCTTTGTTCATTCCCGGGCAGCTTACTACCCAAACTCTGATGAACAAGGATCAGATAGTAAGATTCATATATACTGTGTACACATTAGTATTTGTGGCATAACATAGTTATACATGCATGTCCNGATAATGCTTTTGACGTGAACATTACGAACTACTAAAGTATTTTTTATGGTGAAAATCAAGGTCCAGACGCATAGAAAATTGTCAAAGGAATAAGATGATAATGACATTTTAGAACTTTGTACTTCAACATGAGAAGGAGAAGTTCAATAAACAACATGCAAGAGAATGTCAAAAATTGGTTTTCTATGTTGTGAAAACAACTAATGCTCAAGTCTAAGAAGGTTGCTAAGGAAAAATCTTAGCAAAATCTCATTCATTCAGATGAACCTGAACCAGCCGTCAAAGTCATTAGTTTTACCAAAATGAAGGTGGTTGATGGTTTAGTATACTATAAATAGCACAAACTTCAATTTCTTCATGCACTACCAAATTCTCTTCGTTGTTTTCCTTGTTTTTGCTACAATGGCTCCTCTGCAGGCTCTTGCCATCCTTTTTGCAACTTCTCTTTTTATACAAAATCTTGGAGATGCTGCGACATGTAGTGACTGTTTCGTTCATTCCCGGGCAGCTTACTACCCAAACTCTGATGAAAAAGGATCAGATAGTAAGATTCATATATACTGTGTACACATTAGTATTTGTGGCATAACATAGTTATACATGCATGTACAAGAATGTTTTTTGTTGTCTCTAATCTCGGCCTGATGATTAAATGCAGCTGGAAGATGCGGCTTTGGTACATTTGGAGCCACAATCAATGATGGGGATGTCTCAGCTGTATCGGATCTCTACCGAGATGGTCTAGGATGTGGTGCTTGCTACCAGGTGAGTATTGATGTGGAAAACATAGATAAAGTAGATCACAAGGATGAGGTTTATGACTTAAATCATCGTATTGTGCAGTAACAACATTCTCCTAAACTGCTATTTGTCTCATCAGGTCAGGTGCACCAACAGTAACTACTGCTCAGATAAAGGAGTGACGGTGGTCATAACTGACCATGGAGGCGGTCATCAGACTGACTTTATTCTGAGCAGACGAGCCTTTGGCCGGATGGCTCAAACTACAGATGCAGCTGCCTCTCTATTTGCCCTTGGTGTGGTCGATATTGAATATAGAAGGTAAGATTCATACAGTTAAAGGGAGAAAAAAAGGAACTCTTATAATAACTTCTATGGGACTTTCCCGGGAAAAAAGAAAAACTTCTATGTAAAAATCTTTGAACTCAGAAACATTGAATTGTAGATGTGATCGGCCGTAGGCTATTTCTGTAAGTTTAAGAGGGCTATTTTCTGTAGTTTCCCCAAAGAAAGGACTATATGATATCTGCTGCATTTAGGAATTGGTTGCACAGCTAATTGTCTGTTCAACGTTATTATTAATTCAATTGTGGAAACTATTATGCCATAATTAAAACATACCACAAGGAGTTATTTTTCTTGTCAATTGTGATTTAAGTGAAATCAAAGAGGCATGCTAGACATTAGACAATAATATTTGGTCACTCATCGTCTCTCTCTCTCTCTCTCTATCTCCCAAACAGGATTTCATGCAGCTACCCAAACAAAAATATTACAATCAAGATTGACGAAAACAGCAACTACCCTAACTACCTGGCTTTTGTGATATGGTATCAACAAGGCAAGAAGGATATCACGGCTGTACAGCTATGTGAGGTATTTCCCACAAACTTTGGATATGTAGCTTATATTTGCCTCTGTTATTCAAACAAAGCCCAAGTTTGCACACAATGGGGTTTTTCTCAAAGCATAATTAGCCAATATATTCAGCAAGGAGGAACTTACTGTTGAATTAATTTGTTAAACATAAACTAACAGTAATTTATCTAGGCAGTGACAAACTTCCCTTAATTTTGACGTATTATTGAAAATGCAGACACAGAATTTTGTGTGCAAGCTATTGGATCGCAGTTATGGAGCAGTATGGACAACCACCTCACCCCCCAGTGGACCCTTGTCACTAAGAATGTTATTCAGTGATGAAGATGGAGAAGAGACATGGGTCGTTCCACTTAATAACATTCCTGGAAACTGGAAACCTGGAGAAACTTACGATTCGGGAGTACAAGTAAACGTATAGCCTCCCTCACTGGGCTTCACTCCTCATTGATTTTAAGTTTATACCATCTGGAATATTGTTCTTCATTCTTCATATGTTGTTCTTTTTCACATACCCTATTTGTCTTTCTTAGAGGTTAGATAAGGCTAGACTTGTTTTCTATTGTAATCATTGTATTGTTGACTAATTAAATATTTCAATATTGAGGATTTGGTTTGAATAGCAAACTTCCATTTCAAATGCTTTACAGATTATCATGGGTAGTGATAAGAAAAAGATTCATAGCAGCAATTGGAACATGGAAACTTATTTCAGGATACACTGGCAAATGTAAATGTAAATTACCAATTANATTTCAAATGCTTTACAGATTATCATGGGTAGTGATAAGAAAAAGATTCATAGCAGTAATTGTAACTATGGAAACTTATTTCAGGATACACTGGCAAATGTAAATGTAAATTACCAATTAAGATGCAACTAAGAAACAAACAAGATTAAAAGGAGAGAATCAAAATAAGAAAACAAACTTTGTAATTGTTCTGATTTTCATGAATACCCGACATCAGCATCAAGAGATGAACAAGGATTCTGAATGATGAAACTGGTGTACGATTCGCTTTAACTCGATAGAGCCATTGTTTCAACATGTGATTGCCATGAATGCTATTTGCCAGGACATTTTATCTGTGAAGTAATATTTATCAAATCACAACCGGTAATTCCTTTAAAATGGCCATCAACCCGCGTTTTGGTCTCATAGGTATACAACCGAAGCAAATAACCATTGCTATTGATTGCTCCAAATTTCCCTAATCCCCACATAACCTGAGTGAGATTATAGAACTTCAACTAAAAGCATCCCCTACCTAACATTGCCTCAAAAAACACAGTGTGTAAAACAAAACCCACTTGCCCATTTTTCATGTAGCCACCTTTCCTGCACCCCAAATCCTCCGACAAACAGAGTACATATGAATCAGCACATTCTGGACAAAGAAATTCAACTCAAGCCCAAATTTCGTAATGTGAGCAATGACTTATCTCCGGTTCTGCATTTACCAGAGCATCAGGTCTGCATTTAGCAAACCTCCGTCCTTCAGGTCAGTGGGTTCGTCGTTTTTGTGATCGGACCAGAGTTTTGGGAGGATTTGGAGAGAGGTTTTCTTCGTGTCGATCAACTTTTCGAGAGATTTTGAAGATGAGTGGGGTGTGTGTGGATTTCTGAGGTTGGAGCCGCCTGACGATCACATTTTCTGTGTTTTTAAAATCTGGTGGGGAAGGATAATCACCGAAATTCGAAATAATGGAATTAACTATTTTAGGTGTAAAATAAAGGTTTAAAAAGTAAAATAAAAAAATCAAACTTAAAAAAACTCTTAAAACGGTTTCAAATGTTCCTGAAAAAGTCAATTTTTTTTTTAAATAAGTTTCTTATAAAAATTGTCTTTTTATGAAAAAGTCAGTCCAATAAAAGTTCTTTTCCTTTGAAATTTTTAAAAAAAAACACTAAAATTTTAAGTTAACTTCAAACACACCCAATAAATATTTTAGGTCATATAATTACAAACCGTGTTTGATACAATTCTCTGATAAAAAAAAATGGGGTCATATACACAGGATAAAAATATCGACTACCCAAACAACCAAAAAGAAAAACATGTGAAGAAAAGACATCACGAAGAGCATTGTTAGAGGATTAAAAATTGAACTGTAAAACTAAACTCGATCGACTATTGTCGTTAAATAAGTAATAAATTCCAATATTTATTAAAATTCATAATTAAATCAATAACAATGATTAATTAAATTCAACTTTTACGTCCATCGTGCATTACGCCAAGAAGAATTAAGGAATTTGAATTATTTGTGAAACTTTAGTGATTATCTATCCCAATGGTGTAATAGACTAGTTGATAATATTATGATACTTAAAAAAAGCAAAGACTCGAATGACAAAAATACAATAGCCCCAAATTTTTTTACATATCAGAAACGGACCACAGATAGGCTTCCCTTTCCGTAGCTTGTTTTTCGTTCATCCTTTTGAAGGACTGCTTCTCAAATCCTACAAGATCCAGAACAAAACGCGTCATCAATTTGATGATTAAAATATAATATAGATTATTGAAATATAAGTCCATAGAATCCATCATAATTTTCCTCTCCTCCCTCTATGCATGATAATATGTTCCAGAAGACCAAAAAAACTTCTTGCTCTCTGCCACAAGTAGGTGAAAAAGAAGTGTTCATGGAATGAAGTCTTGATGGAATTAAACTAACCGTTGCTGCGATCAACCCCATCCCAATGTCGCCCGGGTTTGATTCCGTATCGATTAGGTGCAGCATCAAGCCCCCTTTTTATCCAACTGTGGCTAGGAATTTCTTGAGGAATGATGAAGCCCGATTCTTTCACCTTCTCATCGTCACCAAGATCTGGCAGAACTGGCTCAGACTGCTTTTTCTGAGACATTGGGGAATTAGAAAATGTCAATAAAAAATACTCCATTTTATAAAAGCAAATTGCCGGAAGAAAAAACAATAAAAGCGTTTCTTTATGGGGAAAAACAATAAAAGCAAATTAGTATACTACCTTGACCAAATGTGCCATCGGGTCACCCCATCTAACTCTTTCCTTCAGCAATTTGTCAAGTTCTGGATCATCTCTGGCAACAAAAAGTGAATCATACACATGAGAAGGTAGGCATTTAGGAAAGTCATTTTTTTTTTGGTGGTAANTGGCAACAAAAAGTGAATCATACACATGAGAAGGTAGGCATTTAGGAAAGTCATTTATTTTTTTTTGTGGTGANAGTTCTGGATCATCTCTGGCAACAAAAAGTGAATCATACACATGAGAAGGTAGGCATTTAGGAAAGTCATTTTTTTTTTGGTGGTAATTTCCTAGCAGAAAGAGCATCCTACAACTCGAGCGATTTTAACATGGGGTTCGTTGAATGGGGCAATCCCTATGAACACAAAATCATCGTGGGAAGTCATGCCTAGTGAACTATAGCAAATAAGAAACAAGAAATCAAGGGCCATGAATCTAGTCACTGCAAGCTAGTACCAACTATAGCCACGAGCCCACAATCAAATGCAAATTAAACTGTGTAACACATGCACATGAACATCAGTTCTCCAGCAAGCTCCCTTTCCAGTCATTTTGTTTCCCTTTTGTAATACTAATTAACTAATATTTGGCAGGTGTACATAACAATCCAAGGTTTTCTTAATTACAGACAGAACAGGTGACAATTTTTTTTTCCCCAACCAAATTTATGAGTGAACAGTAACCATAACAATAACAATAGATAGCATTAACAAGAACAGTAGCTATCATTAGTATGGAAGCACATTTCTTGGAACCTCTGATCTCAGTAAAGCCGTATTGCACAACTGTGAAGTAGAGCAAACAATGAACCAAATAGTAAGACCATGGCCCACACCGTGCCCCGAAGAACTGCCGCCACAAACACTACAGTGTAATAACTTTCATCTAGTGCAAGTGTTTTCCCCTCCCCCTTTATCGTTGGGATAATTTTTAAGTTCATTTTAAATGTCTTCCAACTAAGGTTGACAAGACATGCCAATTTGTAAGTTCCTCCACTGTCACTACTATATATTTACAACCAATTTTTGTTCCGATCCTTGCATTTTACCTGGTCCGTGCAAATGGTTTGTCTTTCTCAAGTTCCAACTCCCGCTCCTTTTCCTCAGCTTCCCGTTTTTGAGCCAAGCCCTTACCCCATTCCAACTTTATCTCCTGGCGAAAAAAATATTAATAATTTAATAAAAATGAATGAAAACCAAAAACTTTTATTTGTAATAAAGCTTCCATTGCAACAGGAGGAGGAAAGAGTGAAAAGAATTTGAAGCAAGCTACACATGTAAGAATGTGTTATGAGTTGACAAGGCCTATCCAACCAAATGATACTAGATGATAGACATGGCGGACACAATTAAACAACTAAGAAAAAGCAACGCTTTATAATTATTATATTACTAGCTTTTTTTTCCCCCTTTTAGTTGTTTGTGTGTTGTGTTGGGTGGGGTGAGGAATGAGTTGCAGAGGGTATAGGTCTTGAGTTTGAATCTTCCAAAAAGAAAAGAAGAAGAAAGTTAGTAACAAAAAGAATCATTCAATCAAAGTCGCTTAGACAAATTATTCCCCGACATGAAAAAAAAAAAAAAAAGGTGGGCAAAGAAGATGAGATGTTGACCGAGGATACCCTACCAAAACATACAACAAACACTAAAAGAAAACAAAAACAAAAAACACCGATGACAAACAGCATGTAGCCATCCTGCATCACCCTTGAAAATTTTCAAGGAGGATGTAAATGCCCCTTCTTGCCAAAGTTTGCCGAACCATCAGCTGGATCATTACAGATATAGCAACTCTTGTTAGTTCCGGTTCTAAAATATAAGAATATGTTAGATTCTACTATTTTGTGCTTGATGCCAAAACCTTGAACATGCCCTGGTTACATATCCTGGCTCCATTCATTTTGCCCAAGTTATATATCCAAAATCCAAGAGAACACCACCCTAAATTTAATCCAACCTTACTCGCATCATCCACCATGCTAAACTTGGGTCCTAAGAGCCAAACTCGTATTCTGGATGTTTAAAAGAACTCTAGTGGATCAAATCACATATTCCAATCTCTATCCTAACTATTTAATAGATTGCAGATCTATAAAATGTATCATGAACACTTATATGATCTACAACTACATACATTTTCAATTAGGGTCAAACTTTATATAGATCATATAAAAACAAATTCTAAATTAATTTGAGTTAGTATTGACTAATAAAATTGATTCTAGAATAGTGGTGAAAAATCATTACAACACCACCCCGACACAAGAACAAAAGTCACGAGGAACAACTCTGGTGAAAAATCCAATTATAGCGAGACCCAAACAAGACACCAAATTGTTACAGTACCTTGGGTTTCTCTTCTCTTTTTTCCAATTTCTTCAAGTACTGATCCTTTGACATGCGTTCTCCTGCAACAGTATATTGTGAGACCCAGATAGAGCACCCAAAAGGGTTGTTAAAAAAAAGTCACTCATGAAATAACTTCTAACCTGTTATTTTATCACGATATACAGGTTCAGCACCTCGACCACTCATAGAAGGATCCATATCTTTAAACCTACAACATCATGTAACATTAGGTTAGTATGAGCAAACTAATCAAGTAATCCAACACAACGATATGTCCTGCATCCTCCAGTCATGAATCTTCCCAGGAAAGGAATGCTGAGCTGCATAGATATTGTCAAATCATCCTTCATAAATGAGAAATTGCCAAATCTTTTGAGCAGTAGAAGTACAGAGTGCGAGAAACAAAATTGATAGACTATATGAAACATCTGGTTCCTATTTTGCAGCCACACTAATTCCAAAGGGAGATAATATCTAGATCTTGGGTTCAAAACTCTATAATACATGAGACGATATAAGGAAAGTGGTCCGAGGGTTGGTGCAGGATCATTTCATCCTGTGCCTGGTTTGTATGCAGGGCATACATGAAACTGAAGATTAAAAGGCGTACACGAGGACCCCACTATTACGGGATTTGGAGAGGGTTAGATGTACGCAACCTTACCTCTGCAAGCAGAGAGGTTGTTTCAATGACTTGAACCCATGACCTCCAAGTCACAATGGAGCAACCTTTCTGTTGCGCCAAGGCCTGCACTCTAAACTGAAGATTAAAAAAAAAAACCATTAATTACCTCAACCAATCTTCCTTCTTTGTTTTAGCAATCTCTTCTTTGATGTCAAGGCCAGTAACCAAACCAGTCTTTGGCCGTCCTGCCAAAATAGTTGATTCCTTCTGAATTTTCCTTGGTGGAGAAAGGTCTGAAACTGAAGATACATGTGAAGCATCAATTTCAGTCGAATGACCATACGATTGTTGAGGCGATGCATCACGTAGTCCAGACCTTTCTTTCCTTCTTTTCCTTTGAGGTGAAAGATCTTCCCCAGCATAGGCACGTGAATCATCTCGATATGGATAGTCACGTGGAACTCTTCGAGGAGGAGATTGGTCAGGCAAGTTTCTTTCCTCAGAGTTCTTCATTTCATTTTCTGACAGCCTTTGGGGACGAGACCTCTGAGGAGGAGAAAAATCAGGGTCTGGGCCCAACGAACGTGATGGTTTCCTTTCAGGTTCTGGAGATGGAGTATAATGCGGTTTGTGACGCCGCTGNAAATCAGGGTCTGGGCCCAACGAACGTGATGGTTTCCTTTCAGGTTCTGGAGATGGAGTATAATGCGGTTTGTGACACCGCCGTTGGGGCGACAAATCTGTAAATTCAGCAATGGACTCTGATGGTTTCAGGTCACCTTCTGGTGAAGGAGTGTCATAACGAGCCCTACGCCTACGAGGAGAGATATCAGTATCAGCAGAATTCAGGTAATTAGGATCCGAGCCAGAGGGATGGAATGGATTTGTTTCTGACTTTTGGCCATTGGAATTCAAGTTTTCAGAAGCAGAGACCGATACCCAACCACTTCCATCCTCAGAAATGGCACCAAAAGGACGCCTGGATTTAATTTGCTCCAATCTCTTCATACGCTTGACCTCAATATCTTCATCAACCTGGGGCTTCTCTTCATCTGCATAAAAAACCTTGCATATTAGTAACACAATCAACTTAAGTTCAATAATGGAAGAACATATAAAATGGGAGGTTTGCTATACAAAAACCTTCTGATTCTTCCTTTTCTTCTTCAATATTTACTTGTTTTTGCCAAACGGGATCTTCATCAACAACAACGACTCCGGTCGCATCTGGTTTAGCTTTCTTCTTTTTCTTCTTCTTTTTCTTATCCTCTTCGTTGTTATTTTCATATCTTTTGAGATATTCCTTCAGTGAGGCAGAGGTCGAAGATGAAGCCACCAGTTTTCTCTTGATTATTTTCTGTTTCATAATTTATACAAATACTGTTACCATAAACACTATAGTGCTTATATGTAAATACTAGCAATGGACCCTTCATAGAAAGTTGAAATCAGTCAAAAAAACAGAGGAAAAATTGAAACAAACAGCAATTATGGACAAAAAATGTAATATTCTCACGGAAGGCAAACCATATAGTGTCTCTGTGTCTTGGGGTTTTACCTCCCAAACTAANAACAGCAATTATGGACAAAAAATGTAATATTCTCACGGAAGGCAAACCATATAGTGTCTCTGTGTCTTGGGGTTTTACCTCCCAAACTAAGTGTCACTTATTGCTACATTCTGTACTTGAAAATGATTGCTTGTCCTTAATTTCTAGTACCCATACCCTTCTCTTTATCAAGTAGAATTTTAAACCCCTAAAGATTAACACCAAAAGAAATTGAAGTTTCTGAGGCACAATGAAGATCGAGTAACTGCAAGGCTTGTAGTTTACCGGATGGAATCAAATCAGTAGGAAGTATTGGTCATCCCAATGGCTTGTACATCTCATTGTTCAACATAGTTCACCAAGCAACCTAACAAAAGTTCAGTTCATGCATCCAAGGTGACCTGGTTACAATAAAAATCCATCAGATTCCAGCTGAATCAAAAAGTATGGGTCAATAAACTGGGAATACTGAATCTCTATCTGCAGGAGTATGTTCAATGATCTTAGATTAAAACATTCCTTCACAGCCAACTACGGAGACTATTGCAAAAGAGTCTGGCCTAGACAATCCTCTTCTTGGAAGCAAATTAAATTTGTTATTTAAAAATCACTTCAATTTCATTTCAAACCTGAAAAATCTACTACTCAGTTGAGCATTTANTTTGTTATTTAAAAATCACTTCAATTTCATTTCAAACCTGAAAAATCTACTACTCCGTTGAGCATTTATTGGAAGAACTAAAAGTAAACATTACAATCTAAATTCTAGACCAGTTATTTGAAAATATGAAAAGAGGAAAAGTCAGGCAAGCATTGCATTGAAATGCAACGGGAACACACACAAATGCGCACACAACACTCACAAACACACACAGAGTGATGCAAATACACAGACACATACAAACAAACATAGATACACACACAAACCCACATACACAAACATATACACAGACACGCACACATACGCACATAAGAACTTGGAGCTATGTATATAGATATACTACAAAGCTAAAAAATTACTTTCAAAGAGAGTAGGTCAGATCTGAGCTTTAGACAGAGACGATGTTGGATCTAAGGTTGAGAGATGGAGATCTGAGATGGGAGGGCTTCGGTACTGCCTTCGGTTCTTCTTCGTGAAACAGAGAGCCTACCGAGAGAGGAGGGACCTTTATACTTCCATCTAAAAACCCTTATTTTAGGAGAAAAAATGAGTTAAGTTATTGTATTCTAATAAAATATATTCATAATAAAACACCACCTAAACTAAAATCTTATTTTGATGCACATAGTATACACAAGCGCGCGGAGGCTAAGTGACCTCACTGAAATGTAAGCAATAACCACGAAATATAAGCAATAATCTCAAAATCTCTATTAGTCTTTTCGATATTATATGTTGCCATTGTTAGCATTGCCATTCACTGTTAGAATTTATGTGACATGTGCGTGGATTTCAAGCCAGTAATGTTTCTGTCCCGTCATTCTGAACATTAGGAAGGAATGAAATAAGGGATGACATATGTTACTTTAATCTTAAAAAATTAACCAACACATTTTTTCAGTTGTCTAGTTTCTCCCTAATTGAAAAAAATTCCACTCCACAAAAAAAAAAAAAAAATATTCCCAAATCAAACTTCTCCATTCAAATCTACAAAGATCAACCCAATCACAACAGGTAATCTCAATATCAATCTACTAAACAGAAGCATCAAAAATAAATCAAGTAAAACCAAAAGGGGGATTTCTGATACAGAACAAATCAACATAAATCAAAGAAATTTCAATGTAGGGAGCTGGTGATGTTGTGCTTCTTCACCATAAATCAATAGTCAGTGAAAGAATTGAATACTACAAAATCTGAGATAAACTAGCAATATTTGTTTTTAGGTAATGGCATATGTAACGTCACTCGGTGAGTAGGTACCTGCCGCGTGAAGCAAATCTTCAAGGAAGTGAATTAAATCGCCAAGGAACTGAGGAAGATCGACTTTGTCCTGCCTTCGATCGCCACTTCGACTAAGAGACAGAGAGGGGGGCTGATTCGTTTGATTGAGGGGGGCTGATTCGTTCGACTGAGAGAGGCTGCGTCGTTCGAGCTTGACTGAGAGAGAGACGTTGATTCGTTCGACGGAGAGAGAGAGAGAGAGAGAGAGAAGGGCTGAGAATCTGGACGCCGGAGAGAGACGCACAGAGAACGATTTGGTTTAGGGGAAAATTGACAAAAGGGCCAAAAACTACTCTTTTAATGCACTCGCCGGGTTTATTGCAATTCTTCCGGTTCAGTGGGTTTGGACAAGAACCTTGCGGTTTAGAAGGTTTTCTACCCAAACCATTTAAAGACAAATGTCAACTGGTACTAGAAAAAATTTATGAATGTTAATTTATACTCTAAAAANAAACCTTGCGGTTAAGAAGGTTTTCTACCCAAACCATTTAAAGACAAATGTCAACTGGTACTTGAAAAAATTAATGAATCTTAATTTATACTCTAAAAATTTAAAATATTAATTTACACTTTAAAAAATATAAATACGTGTATCTATATACACTTGGAACTGACTCTCACCTATTTTGCCGTTAAAAATATTTGAATNGAACCTTGCGGTTTAGAAGGTTTTCTACCCAAACCATTTAAAGACAAATGTCAACTGGTACTAGAAAAAATTTATGAATGTTAATTTATACTCTAAAAATTTAAAATATTAATTTACACTTTAAAAAATATAAATACGTGTATCTATATACACTTGGAACTGACTCTCACCTATTTTGCCGTTAAAAATATTTGAATTAATTATAAATTATACCACTCAAAATTTAAATATTTCACATTTATGTTCTAAAAATAATTTTGTTCATTAATACTTGTTAAATAGCAATTAAATGTATTATATCAACCAACGGACTTTTGGTACAATAATACTTCTTATCTTATGAAGGTTTTTTCTTATTGAGGTTAACAGTTTAAGTCTCCTTCCCATTCCCCTAAAAAAAAAAAAAATTATACCGTATCATAATATTTTCGTATTGTGTTTGAGTCAATAAAAAAATATNCCATTAATACTCGTTAAATAGCAATTAAATATATTATATCAACCAACGGACTTTTGGTACAATAATACTTCTTACTTTATGAAAGTTTTTTCTTATTGAGGTTAACAGTTTAAGTCTCCTTCCCATTCCCCTAAAAAAAAAAAAATTATACCGTATCATAATAATTTCGTATTGTGTTTGAGTCAATAAAAAAATATTTTTAACACAAAATATATTTTCATGTCGAGTCAATTGCGTTGTGTCATATATTTCACATTTATGACAATTCATATAATACATTTAATATTTTTCTANATTTCGTATTGTGTTTGAGTCAATAAAAAAATATTTTTAACACAAAATATATTTTCATGTCGAGTCAATTGCATTGTGTCATATATTTCACATTTATGACAATTCATATAATACATTTAATATTTTTCTAAATTAAAAAATATCTATTTTTTGTCTATAATATTCGTTAAATAACCATTTTCTCTCTACAATTGTATTATTCGTATCCAACTTTAATTTGATCGGACAATCAAAAGATTTGTTTTTAATTGTAGATAAAAAATAATTATTTAATGAGTATTGTAGACAAAAAATAGGTATTTTATAATTTTTTAAAAAATATTTTTGTATTCACTTGAACATGATAAAAATATGTTATGATATGATACAATTAAGAGTTATTAACGAGTATTAATAAATGTAATTTTTTTTTTATCATAAATATGAAATATTCAACTTTGAGGAGTACAATTTATAATTAGTCCAAATTTTAACCCCAAAATGGACTGAGTTAACCTCAGATGCACATTTATACGAATTTATATATTTCAAAATATAAATTGATATATTTAAACTTTTAGGGTACAAATTAAAATTTGACTGATCTTTCAAAGTGCAAGTTGAGATTAGTTCAGCGATTTAATACACTACCCAGACTAGTTTAATTAGGGGTGCAACTTGGACGGGTTGGACAATGAACCCTAACCCAACTATAGGTATATAATGTTCAACCCTAACCCTACATCGGGTTGATAAACTCAACCCATGCATTGCCCAAGTTTAATTCGGGCGAGCTCAGGTTGAATTCGGGTTGATGAATTCGGACTCAATTCGGATTATTTTACGGGCTGAATTCGGGTTAATGTTCTAAACCTAATACATATATTACAAAAGATTCAAATAATTTAACAACCAACAACTTCAAATATAACACAAATATCTTACACAATTTAAACAACCAACAACCAGCTTGTAAAATAAACAGGAGACAAATGAAGCAAAACATAGTCCATAATCATAAGCAAAACAGAACATTGCTAGCAGTGCAAAATCAGTCTACTGCTTCCACAGTTGCCACTGTTACCACAGCACAACCACTGCCCACTGCACAGCCACTGTCATCCATGAAACAAAACATATGACTCTCCAACACCCGAACTTGCACTATCATCTACGAACTCTACAAAATAGAGAAGTACAAGAGCTTTAAAAAAGACAAATAGATCATTATATTATAAATAGAATATGACAATATGTTACAAACATACATTTATCCATCTCTTCCATATCTTCTAGCTTTTCTTCCATTTTAACGGTGGATAAATGGCTCCTTAGCCAATCTTGGGTACAAATCAAACTCTCAACAATCTTTGGAGTTAAAGAACTACAAAATGGATCAAGCACACGACCCCCCGTGCTAAAAGCGGACTCCGAAGTCACGGTTGATATAGGAATTGCAAAAATATCACGTGTCATGTGAGAAAGCACACGATATGAAGAGATTTTTTCTTTTCATCAGTTCAAAATATTGAAAGTTTGTCTTGATCTATTCCCAAACTCAACGGCATCATCCAAGTAACGTTCCAACTCCGATTTAAGGACTTTGATTTGCTCAATCTCTAAGAACTTACCCCAATCCACTACATCATCATCAAATACAAACATTTGGATCATTTGAAATATATGTTCCAAAATTAATGCCTTCTTTTGATGCATCATCATTTTTTAATGAAGCTAATTCAACCAATGAGTAGTGTTCATACAATTTATCCAATACGACTTGCACCTTTTCAATCAACCTCATCACGAGTATAAACTTTGGAAAGTTTATATCTCAAAAACGTCAGCTTGTAACAAAGATCCAACACTACCGCAATAAGCAACAATGAATTAATTTTGTCATGATCACAATACTTCTTAAATTTCAACATCATTTTTCTTGCCATCTCACGAAAGAATACATTGTCACTATTCAAGGATTTATGTAATAATACATGAATCCTCATCATTTCATGAAAATAAATATTAGGAGTGACATATTGTGACCCCGACACACATTTTGTAACAAGATAAAATTGTTGCAAAAATTTATGCAAGTTCTTTGCTGCCAACCAATCATCATCAGTAGGAGTCCCATTCTTAAGTTCAAATGTGAAACTTCTATCTTGCTATTTCAACCGCTCAAAAGCTTTTTGGTACTCAAGAGCGGTGTCAAGCATATAAAAAGTAGAGTTCCACTGTGTTGGCACATCCAAACACAAAGATTTCTTGTATGGAATCTTCTCAATATCCATATATTTCCTAAATAGTTGATAGCGGGAAGGGGAACTCCTAACATATTTCACACCATAACGAATGTGAATAATAGCACTATTAACTTCATCAATTCCATCATTCACAATTAAATTCAAAACATACCCAAAACACCTAACATGAAGCATAGTCCCATCTAACAACAACCCATTGCGTTTGGTCAACCTCTTTTTCAAAGATGTGGCTGCGACATCATTAGAACTTACATTATCTATAGTCAATGTATTCACTTTATCAATCCCCCACCCCAATAAACAAGTCTCCACAGATTGTACAATAATTTCACCACGATGTGGGGTTGGAAGCACACGGAAATTGATGATTCTCTTTTGTAAAATTCATTATTTGTTAATGTACTGCGCGGTGAGACAAATATATCCAAGGTTTTTAATGGAAGTCCACAAATCGGTGGTGAAACAAACACGTGATGCAGAAGATTCAAAGATCAATCTCAATTTTTTCCTTTCAGTTTCATAAAGATTGATGCAATCTTTGGTGATTGTAGTTCTTGACACCAAATTAAACCTTGGTTGCAATACATTAAGAACCCTTTTAAAACCTTATTTCTCCACAACACTAAAAGACATTTCATCAGTAATTATCATTCGAGCAACCTTTTTCTAGACAGCTTATTGGTCAAATTTTTAATTACTAATATTACTACTATGACCACTTGCAGATGAAAAGTTAATCAATGTTTGAATAGGGTCTTTATTCTTTTCACATTTCAGACACTTGAATAAGTGTCACCGAATTGTACTAGTTCCTTGTGAACTATTATAATGAAAAGTCTTTTTGCAATGGTTGCATTGTACTTGATCAGGTTTTGATCCATCTTCTTTTTTAATTTTCGTGAAATCAAGCCAAACATCAGACTTTTCAACATAAGTTTTTCGGCGTTTGGGACTTACCGAGTTCTCCTCATCAGGGTTCGCAAAAGCAAGCTCAGATGCAAAATTAACCACAGATTCAACATTTGTCTCCGTCTCTCCCATTAGTAACATGTATTAATTCACTGTCCCATAAATCAAAGAATAGAAAATTGATCAATTTATGCAGCTAAAGATTTTCCACTACAGCAACCAGGCAAGACTTAGGTCTGAAAATTAACTCAAAAAATGTGAATATAAAAATGAAAATTGCAAACCTGAGTAGATCTACTTTGAACGAAGGAGGCGCAGTTTGATTTGCTCTGAGAGAGACGAAAACGAAGGAGGCTGAGAGGGCTGATATGAGAGTGAGAGTGAGAGACTAGGAGACCGAGAGAGACTGAGAGATCGAGAGATAGGTCTGATCTGAGGGTGAGAGTGAAAGACTAAGAGATCAAGAGATCGAGGGAGACTGAGAGATCGAGAGACAGGTGAGAGTGAGAAATCGAGAGCGACTGAGAGTGAGTGAGGTTCGCAGCAGACTTGGAGAATCAGATTAACCTAGGGCAAATTATAACTTTGTATTTATATAACACTAATTCGGGTTGAGCCCGAATTTAATATTCGGGTTCAACCCGTGACCCGCCCAAATTGAATTCGGGTTGATTTTTTTGACCCAAGCCCAACCCAAATATTAAAAACCTTTGCCCAAGTTGCACCCCTAAGTTTAATGGCCAATTTTCCAGGTTAACCCACCAAGTCAGGCTGAGCTTTAAAACATTATCACAAAGTAAGGATGACAGTGGATCGGTGCAAGGGAGTAGTCCTCACCCCTATACCTGCTTCAAAAATATTTGTTCACTTCCATTAAAGCGGAGAAATTTTAATCTTCATCCCCAGCCGACTGATAAATTTTGATCTTCTTTCCCCTGTCCATCTCTATTCACCTCCCCATCTCCACCAATAACAATTAATTTTTATGATTTTAAGAAAAAAATTTAAAAAAAATCATAAAACATCACAACTAGATTTATAAGAGGATTGAAGACTCGTTATATAACAAATGGATTAAACATAAAAGCTCAAAAAAATAATATGCATAATATATGTGTATTTTACTTAATTATTTTATTTGATATACACATTACGAGTTTAGTGAGATAAGAAAGGGCGGGCGAGAGGCGGGGACCTCCATTTTTACGCAGAGTTATATTTGTATTCCGTATATATTTACCATCTAATGCGTATCCTCTGTCTAGCTCCAAACTAAGTGGATTTGGGCAAATTTGGTTCATATAGGCTAAATGACTTTTGTGACGAGATTGTCCAATTTGGGGGATTTGCTGGAAAATTTTCAATTATTACATTTTCATTACAAATAAGGGGGCATTCCCGTAATTCCCTCAAAATAAAAGCCCTATCTACATTTATACTCAAGCTAATATCAGTCGCTCTAGTACAAGAACGAAACCCTAGTCCTCTTTCTCTCGCTGATACTCATCTTCATCTTTATCATCATCATCATCAACCATGGGGATTTTCTCTTGGTGGAAAGGCAACAACAAGGAAACTCAGCCCTCCAAACCCGCACAGAAACCTCAAATTTCGTCGGAAAACTCCCAGGTACCGGGCATGAACGGAGCTATGAAAGTACCTCGACCAGACCCTCCGGCCGACGTCACGATCTTTGAATTCGGATCGGTGGCTGCTTCGACTGATAAGGTGACGCTTGCCGGGTTCTGCCCCGTATCGGACGAGCTCGAACCATGCCGCTGGGAGATCTTGCCGGCGAATGACTCCAATGCGCCTCAGTTTCGCGTAGTCTTCTGAAGGTAGCAAATGAGCATGAAAAGAAATGTATAAGAAGACCCTTTACTGAGATTGTTAACTTTGAATGGAATTTGACAAGGGGCTTTTTGCATAATTATGTGATGTTGATAGAATGAATAACTACCTAATTTTTGTTAGTAAATTGGCTTTATTTTATGGGTTTCTCTTCTTCCTGCATTTTATCAGGATATATTTCCTTCTATCATCACTATTTTAAGTCTTCTATCACTGTGTCTTTCTGTGGGTGCTTGTAGTTGTTGATTGTTGAGTATGATGTTACTTTTAACAATACTAGTCTATATGTGGTTAAAGTAATACACAACAGAAAGGTTAGTATTTTTATGATTTTTAAGTTTGCCAAATTCCCTTGATCCTCAATTTGTTTTGCTTGATTGTTAGGTGGAAGTAGCATGTGTTTAAATTGTATTGAGATATGTGTTGGATAGACTAAGGCATTTTGCAGTGGGTTGGAGTCAAGCAAAGTGAGGAGTTTGTGATGCAGTAGAAATCTAGGAGGTGCCTAAGCAGAAGGATCTATTTTCTATAGTTGTTTTATATATTCATCGATGCCCCAAGTTTCATGAAATATAGTTTGGGTTCATTTTGCAGGCATCCACCAATAAGTTTATTATTTGAACGAAAGAAAATTCAATACTTTATGATTGTCTAATTGGGTGTCTGGTCTGGAATAGCCAGGACATGAGTGTAAGAATGGGACTTCTTGAAAGAAAAAGTGTCTGGGTTTTGAATTAGTAGTATACGTTTCTTGTAACAAGATGGATTTGCCAACTATACCATCTTATTTATTCATAAACTTTTGATAGGATAGGAGGATGTGCTTTGATGTTGAATTGAAGTATTGAGACTAGTGTAAAGATTGCTTGAATTCTGAATAGGGATATATTTACTAGCCAAAAGTTTCTGGTTATGAGTTTTTTGAGTTGTGCCATGTATTACCGTAAGTGGCATCACAAGTAGATTGTGGAGAAAAACACGAAAGACGCACGGAGGGTTGTATCAATTAATATTGATGATATATTCTTGGTTATCTGCATTCATGATGCATCTGCACTGTGTTCATTTTTACAAGTTGTATTTTATAGGGATGTTTTATGAGAAGGTGGTAAAACTCAACAGATGTCTCAAAGCACTCGAGTTACCCTGAGGTCAAGAGTTCGTTGGAGCCTCTCCCATCCCATAAAAGTTGTGCTTGTCGAAAAAATTGTAGATGCTAAAGGAAGGTAAGATAATTGAGTCTTAAGCAATAGACTTGTGTATCACAGCGATTAGATAGTAGCAGAAAGATCACATTATTTATGTACTTCTGCTAACCAAGGGCCTTAGTTTTACTTGTGCTGGTTAACAGCTATTGGACAAATCAGCCAGTGGAAAATATTTTCCCCCACATGGCTATACATTATTTTTTTTTGTCTGAATGCTTCCTTTACATTGTGAGAGTTGTGTATTTGAGGGAGCTGATGTTTAAAAATTCAGTAGGTTTCTCACAAATTTCTATCTGCTGGTATGCAGTCGTTCGAGTCACTTCGAAATAGTAAGTCGCCAATGTTTTGTATGCTGCATTTGAAGTAACAAGATGGTAGTGTCATGTGAAGTTACAAGCAACCGCTCTGGCAGGGCTATGAATAGTTCGAGTTGAACCACATTGTACTATTCTTGAGCACATTATGAAACTGTGGCCTCCTACATTTTCAGGGTCAATTAACCTGCTTGATACAGGACTGGATTAGGAGGATGGAATCAGGTTTTGAAATATGAGTGGTTCAGATGACTGGAGTGTCCCTTGATACTTTTATGCTGAAAGATGAAGCTTGTCGTTGATGGAAGCTTCGTGGGATTAGTTACACCAACTTCAAACTTCTCGTCTACTTCTTTAGTTTACAGCAAGATATGTATGTAATGGTTGACATCAAAAGGTGTTTGTCACAGTAAAGGCTTGAATGGAGGATATGCCCTTTCCATAAACATGACAAATGCCTTTTATTATATCATCCGTTTGAGTAATTTGACTCAATTATCAGCTCTACATGGAACTTAATTTTTGAAAGCTGTAGTGGTTCAGGACAAGCAATCCAATTTGCTCGCGAAAGCCCTGCAAGTAAAATGCCTCCACCAGGGATAGGAAACTGCACTCTCATCATCACATATACCAGTTGAACTCAATCAGTTTAAATTCCAAGGCAACTTGTCTGGATGGTTGGCAGAACATGTCAAGTCTAAAAGCTCGTAATACTTGATTTGTTTATATATAAAATATAAAATAATCAAACTATTCATGTTTGACTTATTTTGGACTGGACTCAAATTTGACTTATTTTTTAAATAAATCAAACATATATAATTTTTTTAGGCTCATTTAAAAAAAAAAGAGTTTTAAGTGGCTAAACTTGAGCTCGCAAAGTTCAACTTGTCTTATCCGAGCAAGCTTTTTGGAGTGATCACTAACAGTTAAACAATCTAGACATATGAATTCTATCATTAGACAGCCGATCGAGTGTATTTGTCTAGGGGTCCATGGAATGCAGTTCAATTATTTCTTCTCGGAATTCGGAGGTACTTGACCATTCNGAGTGTATTTGTCTAGGGGTCCATGGAATGCAGTTCAATTATTTCTTCTCGGAATTCGGAGGTACTTGACCATTCCTTCAATAAGAGACATTACAAAATTCAAACCCAAGTGTTTTTGGGAGAATACATGTCAACATTCTCAAAACATGCCTTTCAGTATAAAAATGAGGATCAATAATTTGAAATTAGGTGAAAGGGATAATGTAAACGAGATCAGTGTGAGCTGCTGAAACCAAGAAACTGGTCTACCAGTCTTGCCACTGAATTGGCAAGGTCGTCTGCTGCTTCCTGCGTGATTGCCTCTGCGTATACTCTTATCACATCCTCTGTTCCAGATGGCCGTATAAAACATCTGCCTCGAGGGTATTTTGCTGCATCAAAGAAGTTATGAGAACTCCATATAACTGGTATTTTAGGAATTCCTACCTACGAAAAAAAATGCAATGAACAATGCCAGACTCAACAACTTGCATTAACTTAATTTTCTGGAATTGGTTTATGGATCTTTTCCTGTTATTGGGGATAGAGTATACAAGGCAGCATAATATGTATAGAATTTGAAACATTATACATATACTTATGGTTTTATTGATATGCATTGTTCCTTCTCTAGTTAAAGTGCATTGAATGAGCTCATTTAAAAGGTCAACACGTTTATGGTACATCTAAGAGCAGGCAAAACACCCTATAGAATGCTATAGAGGATCAAAATGATCAAATCAATGATTTAGAACAAAAATTCTGGTCAGAGATTGTATCCCAGATTAGAAAAAACATGTTTTTGTCAAATGGTTACCTATTTCCGCATTAATGGCTTCTTGGATACCAAGGGGCTTCACAGCTACAGTTTCTGCGTTTGCTGTGACAACTGCAGTTCTGTCAAGAACCTTTACCTGGGAACATAAAATAACATCATCAATAATGATGGGGTAGACACATCAGTATCCAAATGTAAATTTGTTAAAGCTTTTAGTGTTTCACAAAAGAATGATAATACAGAAATATTGATCATGTACCCACGCCTTGCAAATACCTTCATTAGCATGATAATAAGGGTTCAAGGCTTAAGTCGTCATAAGTAAACAAATAGAAACATAAACCTGAACACCAGATGGTTCACACCCAAAACAAACCACAACAAGGAACTAACATCAAATAGTGTCGAGAGATTCTGCAACTATTTTGTCCACATGAAACTGCAAACTCATGGAAAGGATTTACAGTTTGTTTCAGGTTTCAACATTGAAATTTTCACTCTTCGTTGCAATAATGTGGATAAAAGATGGAGAGCTCAGTCCCTGTTCTTTTCTTCTATTTTTTCCTCTCTCGTCCTCTCTGATTTACAAGTGGAAAGAACCAATTCCTGAGCTGATTGGTATCATTCTTCTTTGTTCTGAAGTTAAATTTTTCTTGAAAGAATACCTCATTATCCCCACTCTTGTCCAAGTTTACACCATCCATGATATTTGCAAGTGTTTCTTATCCTTTACAACAATTTTTTTAAATAGAGGTTATAGAAGGTCATTACCAAGTGTTCCTCATTATTTAAGGGTATCAGATGGGCTGTTTAGATATAGACACAACCTTTTGAATTATTAGCATAAAGCAACAGCCCCCAGATACCACATGCCACCATAGCAACACAACATTAGGTAATGGACTTTTTAACTCTTTCCTCCCTTTCAGATACCATTGTATTGGCAATGACCTCTTAACTCACTCCTCGCTTTCAGATACCACATGCCAACACAGCAGCACTTATGCCATTGTGCTGCAATGTATCAGATGATCATTGTTTTTCATGACTTGAACAAGTTCAATAATGTCATAAATACAAGTTTTCATATATATATGATACACTGATACACATGATAAGAGAGAGTTGAAGACTTCCTCCTATGTTTGCAAGTTCACAAAAGCCGTATAGCAAATTCAGACACAGGTTTTTTTAAAGTAACAAGAAATTCAACACATGGAGATAGTACTACAAATCTAGTTCAGTCATGCTGGGCCCCATTTACAAAAGCAACAGCATAATCAAGCTCTTAATAATCGGAAGAAAGAAAACATAAACAAGAGAAAAAGCATAAAATGGGAACAACAAAAGGGACATCCAGTTGGCAAAAATTGCATCAAATTCTGTTTCTTTAGGAAGGAACCCATCAAGATCCCGAACCTAAACTATGTAGACAGCAGATATCAAAAAAACACAGGTAAACTGAGACAAGTATTTGAGCAAAATCATAAAGGAGTTGAAAAGCATTTAAAATAGCTTCAGAAGTTAACTCGGTGGCCAATGTTGAACAAGACAAAATCTAAGATCTTTGGCTCCAGTATTTTAGGCTGAAGTTCCAAGTTAAAAAAAAGTTCAATCTAGCCTCTAAATACTAAATGCCATGTAAAGATTAGTAAATCCTATCTCTAACACAAGGACTACTCAACACCATCCACATGAATTATCTAATAGACTGACCTTAAGCTGTCTGCTGGGTAAATCCTCATACAGCTCATTCCATTGATGGATTGACCATCCCATGTGTTGTAAGATAACCTCCACCAAAAGTAACCCACTAAGAGCATCTCCCACTGCCTGATTGATCAACTTAGTGACTGCCATTAGTCTCAAAGCAGCCTTTTGCTGTTCTGAACCTGAAAAAAGCAATCAATTTATCATATATTTTGTCATCAACCGCACCATCAGAAATCCTAAAATAAAGGAAAAGGCAACCTATGTAATTATACAACCTTTCGATGTCAAAGAAAGCTTGTCACTTCTATCCTCTAACCAGCGTATGAAATGTTCTGAGAACAATATGGTTCCATGCCCATTGGCTTCAAAATATATCCCAATATCAAACTCAGCAGCTTTTTCATGCAAGTATTTCACTCCCGTGGGAGTTAATATGACTTCAAGTCCCAGCTGTTTGAGATAAGCAGTGGATGCTCCATTTGCATAAGCTGTCTGCACAACTCCAAGATGTGCTTGATGATACTTTTCTACTTTTTCAGTTTCCACCTCGTTCAGGATTCTTAGTTGCTCTTTGATAAATAAAGCAAACAGAGACAATATTTTGTCCCCATCAACAAGGTCAATCTTGTTACTATTTGCTAGACAAGAGAAATATACAAGCCGATCAGCATCCCCATCCAAGCTTGCACACCTGAAACACTAGTATCATCGAAGCAATTATTTCCCATTGCTCATCAACCAATAGGAAACTGAACAAGGTTTAATAGACAATCTTTCAAGGCAAGGATCAAAATTTTGTTTCGAAACGGTCAAAACTTCCGAAACATTTCCGTTTCGAAGGAGACCAAAACTAATCAATAATGGAATTGAAATTATAATATTTCGAGATATTTCATAATATTTTGAGGTATTTTGTAATGTTTCAATACATTTACACAATTATTTCGAAATATTTCAAGATACTTTGATATATTTTGGAAAAATAATTGTTAAATTTTTATTTTTTTTTCATTATATTTCCAAAACGGGTCGAAACATTTTCAAAACACGTCGAAATGTTTCCGTTTCCTAGGTGACTGAAACAATGCACCGAAACGAATTTTGATCCTTGTTTCAAGGTTAGAATTGGAATTGGCATGACCAACAAGGTTTTGGCCCCAACTAAAAATCATTCATCAAAAAGCCAGTTTGTCTATATTGTAGTTCGAGAAAATACTAAAAAAACTAGACTTTGTAGTCAAATTGACTAGAACTATCTCCCCCTTCAACAACCCCCCCCCCCCAAAAAAAAAAAAAAAACCCAGAGAAAACAAGGAAAAAACATGTTTAACAGGGTTATGTGGCCAATAAGTCCAATGTAGAGATCAACACCCATAGCAGAGCCAACACATGACATAAAAATGCAAATGGACTAGAGTCTCAACAATGCTACAATTCACCAATCCATGTTGTTATTTTCTTATTTCCCTTTTGAAGTAATACAAACATGCATGTTCCTACTAACATTCTAATCCTGCACCTCCCCATAGAAGTTCCTGCATATGCCACTCAAGCTAGCTACTGGACATGCGCAAAGAGCTAGTCCTATATACTGTTACGAGTTACTATTCAACCTTTCTCCATCATTTAAGTATGATGCAACTACGAAAGTACTTGAAGTAAGAACCTGAAAGTATAATTTGCATCAACATAGATGAACCAACAGGAAGGTGACTCACTCACCTTATCCCAACATCGGCAGATCCAAAACTACATGGAACAACCTTCTCTTTTTGCACATAATCAGCACCAACTCCTTCATTGAGTACACCTTCTTTACCAGAATTACGAATGTCCATATTTAATCCAGTCAACATCTTCATCAGAATTTCAAGCTTTTCCCCACCCACACCATTTGAGCCATCTACAATTAATTTTGTATGCATTTCATTGGTTTTATTGCCTTGGGGTAACAAATCCATCAAGCACCTAAAAAATTATGTGAACAGATATTCATATATCTTGTAATAATACGCATTTAAGACAAATTTGATGTCACTATACATTCCTTGCTCAAACTAACCTGAAAGAGCCCGAAAGCTGGTTGAAGTAATCAAGTTCAGATGCTTCCATTCCCTTATTTCTAGCACGGACCATCCAATGCAATTGTGGGGTTGTTAAAATTCCCATGTCAATGGCAACAACTCCAACTATTGAACTGACTCCCTTGAAATGAACATCAAATATAAATGTATCATACATTATCTAAAAAAACATAGGCTCCAAATTTCAAAATTTAATTTACATACACATGGCCAGCACCCCTCCATCAAAGTCTAAGCTTCCTTTAACTTATTGAAATGTGCTCCCATATATACACACAGACACCTACTCAAACACACTATGAGCAATTGACGTGCACAAGCAATTTTCATGCTATGCTTGTGAATATGGGTGCCAAAACAAAGACAAAAAATGGCTGATGGCACTGATGGGAGAGGAGAAAAGAGAGGGAAAGATGGATGATGGAGGGAGAAAGAGCTATAAAGGTAGGTAAATTATGTCACAATAATCACAAGATCATATACTAGTTGCATGTAAAATAGGATCTGTGAAATACCCCCCCCAAAAAAAAATGTTTTGCAGGCCTAAACCAAAACAGCTAAGGATAATCAGATACTATGAATGTATGCATGCATTCGAACCAGCAGTTGACAACCAAAGCACACGATTATTAAGGGAAAACCATACTTCTTTCACAGCCTCAAGAAGAGACTCTCCACTAGGCCTTGTGTCTCTTCCCACTAGTATCCCTGTGGTCTTTACTGCCTCTAGTGGAATGTTTTCCTTCTTCACAAAGTCACATATCAACTGCTTCAACAATCCAAAAAAGGGTATGAAATCAATAAATGATAAAAGAAAAAGGAGCACATACACCCCAAACTTACTTGATATGCACACAATAACTTGAAAGGTCAACCAAAGTATTGAACTGTGAACCATTGAGGTTGTGTGAAGACCGAACTTTCCTTCATTCAATGAGAAGTTGTATTAAGACCAAATTCTCCTTGCATCAAATGTGACAAAACCTGCATGCTTATACATGTGCCTCTAAAATCTGAATATAGAGATGCACAAATATGTTCCATTGGTTTTGAGGGGCAGCCTTTCCAGATCCAGACAGAAAATTCATCAGCAACTTCAGGCATTTGATTGTGTAGAAATAACATTTGCTTATTTACCGAGAGTTCTGGAGATAGCAGCACTCAGGTTCGAACCGAAACCGACTGTTAAGCAAAATTTCAACTACTAAACCAGTCGCCTTACTGATTATTGTATCACATTTTCCCGATGCAAATTCATTTAGACTCAAAACAAGTGAAGCATAATATATAAATTCCAGAATTTCACAAAATTTAAACCGGCGGAAAGCCTAGAAATCTCAACAATTCAGAGGGCTGCATCTCCCATCCTTCAACCCACAAGCTAAACAAAAAGCATACACCGTTTGTGCGAAAGATAACCCCAACCCAAGACGACATTAAAATTACAGTGTTCGATTTTACACAACCCCAAGCCTAAAACCAAAAGAAGAACAACTAAAAGGGTCTAGTTGCTCATCCCTCAACCCCTCAAACAACTACACACACACAATCTCTTCTTCATCAATTTGTCGCCAAATAGCGACAAAATCGCATATAACTCCACAGTTACATATATGCGTGTGTATAGATTGATAGAGTAAAGGATAGAGAGAGAGAGAGAGTAAAGAATAGATCGAGACCTGGACGAAACTCTGGGGATCAGGGGCATTGGCAATGGAATCAGCAAAGGGCTCCCAATCCTGAGCCAACATTCCACCACTCGGATCAGCCACTTTGACTCCATTATCGGACACCTTGTTATGCGAAGCAGTGATCATCAATCCGATCACTGACTGTGTCTTCAGAGATCTCAGCGCCGCCAATATCCCAACCCTATACACCGTCGATTGCAGCACCGAAGCATCGGCTCTGAACCCCGCCGTACCGTAGGATAGCCTCACTCCTTAAAAACATCAAATTCCAAAAAATTGAAAACAAAAAATTAGAATCAATGAGACTTTAACAGTGCAAAGAGGTTTGGAAGATGGTAAGCACCTTGGGGAGGTGGGAATCGAGATGAGGACTTGAGGAGGATCGATCGCTGTCGTTCGTTCATGGTTTCTTCAGAGAGCTGATCAAAGCTATAGATTTGTCTCTACAAAAGCAAAGTGCAGAGCAGAACAGTGGTCTTGTTTTTCTCTCTGTAAGGGCGAATTGTACATTGTACCCTTCGAGTGTTATCAGAATCGGATCGAATCGAACGATCCGATCGGTTTAATCTCGAACCGAACTGTTGACCGGTCCAATTCCCCTAATTGAACCGCTTAAGGCAAAGAAATTGTAATAAACCGGAAAACCGTGAATCGACGATTTTTAAAAATCGGAAGGTTTAATGCCCATTTAAAATTTAAATTACATAAATTATATTTTGTACAGAATTTGAGACTTTTTTTGTCCTAAATCACATAACACTGAACAGAAGGCAGTAGCACTACCACCACTAGGCTCCAGCGAAGCAACATCAGGGCCTCAACTGCTATCAGGCTCCATCGACATCAACTGCGATCAAACAACTACTGGATACATCAAGAAATTGCCAGTCCTACTTAATTGTAAATTAGAACTATATGGAATGGAAAAATATTAGCCCAATTGTGGATACACCCAATAGTGTGTGGTACCCAGGATAAACTGAAAAAAGTGATCAATGCGCATGTGTACATGTATTTTGCAATTATGTAAGTGTATTTCCCAACCTCATGAACAAAAGGGGCAGCTAACTTCGTTATGGAAATTTTAATTTGGATCAGGAATTCCCTTGCTTTAGATTCTTGCTCTCAAAAGGAAAAAAAGGGGGAGGGGGGGGGGGGGGGGGGCTTCCAAAATCTTAAACAAAAAAGAAAATGACATACAAAAGTTCATTTAGTTTCCTATGACAGAATGTGAAATGCTAGTCCATCATAAAGAAGTATCTTGAATTTTTAAGTAAGCACAGTTAATGGTTGGTCTTCATTTCATATTGCATTTATTACACAGCAGACAAGCATGGTAAACAAAATTTAGAATCTAAATCATGCATGTGTATGTATGCAGAGAGAAAAGGTCATATGAATAATTCCAATCCTGAGCATTTATGCCTTTATATCCCATTCCCAAATGTCAAATACGATGATTAGTTAAAACTTCACACTCAATGATCACAGGATCTATTAGTAGATGGGCTACTACTAAGCACATGAACAGCATAGGCGTTGTTATATAACCTGAAAGATATCTTTGTTTCTGATAAATAAATAGTTTTTTTTTTGTTGATTGAAATCAAGGAAAGAAGGTCTACCATTTACCAACATCTATTCCCAGTTAGGGGAAAAAATAAACAAATCTGCATACTTTGAGAGCATGAACAAGCTCGGGCTTCAGTAGTCCAATATCATTCCAATAGACCTCCACATCCAATCCAGCACGAATAACAAATTGATCACGAGCTTTTTAATCGGTAAGCCACTGTTGTAAATTTTCCCTCTATAATTTGGCAAAAAAACAAATCAAATAATCAGATTCAAAGTCTTATATATTCAATGTCAACATTCTTAATCCCGCCTGTCTGAGGCTTTACTAATGTGCAATTATACATCCTTTTTTATTTGGCTAATCATCCTCTATTTTTAACAGTGAAAATTTGTATAAAACAAAATCAACCACAAGAAATAAGACTAATGATGTAACATAAAGTGTTATGAGGATTGAGAATCTTAAAAGAAGGAAATGAACAAGAAGTGTAATGGAATTCAAATGCTCACTCCGCTAGTGTATGGTTTTTCCTCCGGAGGTGTCCATTCCTCTGGAACATTCATAAACCTGTCAAATTCGTCCAATAAATTCACCAAAATAGTGTGTCTGCTGCCCAATTTACGTCCATTTGTCTCCTTCATAGCAAGTTCAGCCTCCTAAAATGGCAAACATAAACAATAGCTACAATAAGATACTCAGAGTGATCGAATCCAAGGATAATACCACCGATGTGCAAATAATTAAATTAAGGAAAAATTTCAACCACACCCCTTATAGTTTATCATATCTTCAAGGACACCCCTCTATTTTTTGAATTTTTATTGACACCCTTGTCAGATTAAAAATATTAACTAGAATACAATTTTACTAAATTACTTATGATATATTTGAGGACAAACTTCATTCACGCCCCTCTAAATAAGCATATCTTCAATAAGACCCCATCTGTTTTCTTATTTTTTTTACGTATTAAAATTTGGAACCGATTAAAATTCGATTCAAGTTAATTAAAATTTATATTTTTTACGTATTAAAATTTGGTCTAATTAAATTTTTATTTGAGCCAATTAAAAATTATTTTTAATCGACTCAAATCAAATTTTAATTCACTCGCATTGAATTTTAATTAGTCCAAATTTTAATACATAAAAAATTTTAAATTTTAATTGACTAAAATTTTAATAAATTAAATTTTAATTAACACGAATTTTAAAAAATAAAAAAATATAATTTTAATCGACTTGAAAGCAAATTTTAATTGGCGCTAATAACTCAGATATAGTTCAAATTGGCTCAAATTTTAATACATAAAAAATAAATTTGAATAAGCTCAAATTTTAATACGTTAAAAAAAATAAAATTTAATCAGTTTCAATCGAATTTTAATTAGTTCAAATTTTAATATGTAGAAAAATAAATTTTAATCAGCTCAAATTTTAATAAAATTTTATGTAAAAAAATTACTTGAGGTTTATGTAGGGACATTTTTGGTATTTTAGATGAATTTTTGTTTTTTTTTGAAATGGTAATTTAATGATAAGGGGTGTTAGTGATATTTAAATATAAATTAGAACGGGTGTCAGTGATATTTTTGATAATAGAAGGAGTATTCTTGAAAATATAGTAAATTAGGAGAGGTGCGGCTGAAATTTTTCATTAAGTTAATATCAATTTTGGTGTGTTTCTTCCTTCATTTACCAATTTTGGAGTTGATAAGAAATCCACAACTATTATTCTGCTAACTTCAATACAAGTGTACAACACGGACACCTTCATCAAAATTGCTTGCTGACTCGTGCATTGTTTGTTAGTGAACATCCTTTATCAATTAATTAATACTTAGAAAAGGTTGATAGTGATGGTTAATTTATAATATCTTAATCCAAACAACTTCAAGATATTCAACAAAAGTTTAACATAATTGGTCAAGAAATTAAGTAATACCTGTTGAGTATGAAACTCGATGAAACAATAACCTAGGGTTTCTTGAGTCTCTGGATTGATTGGCATCCAAAATCCATCAGTCTTAATCGTCACACCAATTCCATCATAAATTCTTCGTATAACACGTTCAAGCTTCTCAAATTTCTCAGGTGGAACCATCGGAAGGTTATCCACAACAATTGCGTTCCCAAAAGCCGTATCGAGTATAATATCATCATTATCACCAAACACATCTTCATCATCATCACTGCAAATCATTTTTTTTTTCAATAAATGAATGAACAAGCCAATATTTAAAGCTTAGATATATAAAATAAGTGTGCATGTGTGCGTACCTTTCGATGCCAAAATCTTCATCGGGAGGTAGTTCTATGGAGTCCAAGTCGATGGAAGAGATGTCGACTCCGAGTTTTCTTGCGGATGCTTCGATGTCTGCCATGGACATTACGTCTATCTTTAAAGCTTGTTTTCTTGAAGAGAGAGACATTTTTTATTTCTTGATTTTCTGTGCAGGAGAGAAAAGGATAACCTGACTAACGCCGTCGACTGCATGCTGTTTGTTGCTTGCCGCCCAAGTCTTCTATCTTTAAAGCTTGCCGCCCACCCAAGTTTGTAGCAGGTTGATGGGACTCTTCTGAAAAGTCCTATGATGAAGACACGTGTCTTCGGATTTGCTGGAACAGTGTTGCTCGGATTTAAGTACCATCGGCAACGAGGGTCCTCGCCCCCGAGGTACCTCTCATATAGGATCATGCATTCGGTGTATTATACAACAACACGTGTCCTCGGTCACCCATGTACCTCGGAAACATATCACCCTCGGTCCCCGAGGTGAGCCTTTCCTCGGTGCCGAGAGTTACTCCGTCCTGGACGCTTCTTCTACTCCAGGATAAAGCTACTGACGTATGGGTCATCAGCCTATGCCAGTCTAGACTATTCATCATGACCTCATCTTACACAAGTAATGTCAGAACATACCGGAATACAGTAATCACAGCGAATAAGGGATGGACGTGTGACAAATGATGTCACATCAAAGACAGACAAACTGCACGCCGTTACTGACACATGGCTTGGGAAAGCAAACAATTAATTGCACCCTTCTGTTGACGAGACCGCATTCAATGCGGTAAGGTTCGGATATGAAAGGCAATAAATGCTCCTATTACAGAGCATTTATTACATCCTTCCCGAAAGGAGCATATTGTACCGTCGACATCCCGACGACTCAGCATTGATTGCTCGGGACCCCGAGCAGTCAATTAGAGAAGACATTCCTCATCAAATCAATACACACGCTACCTGTGTCTGATGATCACCTACTGACCACACTGACAGCAATCATGAGCTTTTAAGGTATAAATACTCCTCCCAAAAGGCAAAGCGGGTATGCAATCACAAACTCTCTACTACAATACAGATTTTCTCAGTGTTTTCTTCTTCCTCTCTCCCATTCAAAGACTGACTAGACCGTCGGAGGGGATACGCCGAAACACACTCCGGCACCCTTCTAACTTGTTCCTCTTTATTCCAGGAAAACCTTTCACACGTACAGGATCGTTCTTCCTTTCCCAGGATCTTCCTTTGTCGTTCCAGGTTGCCACCGTACCTTGCAGGCTGTCTCAAGCAGCGTGTTTGACCACTCAACCGGCTCACTCAAAGTTCACCAGGGGAGAGATATGTTCTCAATATTTTTTATATTGTGTAGGATCTTGCACGCACACAGGTAATATTGGTTTTACTTTAAATAATAGTAATTAATTATTTTTTGTGTTTGAAGGTAGGGAGTAATAAAAAAAATAGTCAATAATAAATATATTTATATTTATATCAAAAATCAAATTATAAAAATAAATGAGAGAAAAATAAATTTAAACACCACTTGTAGTAGGGGCGAGCGGTAATAGTGATGGTGTGCAACAATAATAGTGGTGGGACACGATGATAACTGTGATAATTGATAGATAATGACGATTAGTTGTGATGGTAGCAATTATGTGTGGCAATGGTGACGATGATGGTGTGACTATGGGGGCGATGGTGGGATAATGACAATGGTGATAAAGTGGCGACAACGGTGATGGTGGTGGGGCATTAGTGGGGTGGCGGTGGTAGAGTGACAATAGTAGTGGTTGCGATAACAGTGGTGATGACAATTTTTATAGAAGAGGTGATGGTGGGATGACAATAACAGTGGCGGTGACGGATGTGGTCGGGCGATGGGTGTGATAGGGTGGCAACAATGGTAGTTGTAGCGGTGGGGTGGTGGTGGTAGTAGTAATGGTGATTGTGGTGGGGCGGTGGGGGTGGTAGAGGTGTTGGTGGAGCGATTTTCAAACACTATTTTTTTAAAAAAAATGCTTATGATAAATTATAAATATTAAACACACTTTTAAAAAATCACTCCATACACACTCATCGGGCCCTATTTTCCTTATTAAATTTGGAATGTTAATATTAATCGTCAAATTAATTTTAAAGTAAAATTTAAAGAAATCTCAACCATGAATAACAGAAGTCATTTTATTTATCTTTTGAGATTTGAATTGTATTGTATTTCATTATATGGATATTTAAAAAAAATTAAATTATATTTATAATTAAATTAAATAATTAATTATTATAGAGTATTCAATCAGTCATTTTTTTAAGTATTTCTCTAAGCCTTTTTAGACATTTCTTTTGTTATTTATACTTGAGCTTAAAAAATTTTGCTCCTAAATATTTGTACATCTAATAATATTATAAATTTATTATATTTTATTAACAAAGAGATTGATTAGATTATAATATCTTTGTTTGTATTAATATTATGACATTTTTATATACCAAAAAATCAAATATGACATATATTTAATCGTAGAATCCAATCTAACAACTACACGTTAATAAACAAGTAAATAATTTATTCTATTATGTTTAAATATACGACTAAAAATAATTACATTACAGGACCAATGGTTCTTTCGCTAATAGGAGGGTAAACAACTTCTATTAATATTAACACCGAACCTTGAGTTGAATTGATCAAGTCATGCGCAACGTTCATCAATGATTTTTTTACTAGCCAGACACCTATCAACCAACCACCCACCACCCAGTAACTATCCATTCTTCTGTAAACCAAGCCAACATTGCTATTTTGTTGATTAGTTTGATGAATTGGAAGAACAATGCAAATATCTTTCAATTTCTTACTCTGCATATATCTAAAATAGCAATGTTTGATGCTGTTTTCAGCCATTGGCTTTGTAATATTGAGCTGAAAACCTGCGAAATCATCATTCTTCTCGTTGTTCGGTCTTTTGGCACTCTCCCAGTAACTTCATTTTAGTTGTCTTTTTGAGCTTTGTGGTGGGTACAAGCAGAAATTGGCCCTCATCAAGATAGTCATTAAAGGAGGCTCCCATCACTGTAAAGTTAAAAAAATAATCTGAGGGGTCACCCTCATACGGAGAGGCGGTTTGCATGAAGTCCCAAATACATCATTTACTCTATAAATGATCCATAATTTCCATGAACAAATTGGCTCAACCAGATAGCTTGATTTTGAAAACTTCTCATAAGTGTTATAAATAACTGTCATGCATAATCATCCACAAGAAAGCTCTGATGATTGAGGGGCATTGCTTATTTGCTGACCCAACCGTGTTCAGTGTTCATCATTGCAGTGTCTAATTATATGAAGGGCATAGAACTTCTCAGAAAGGAGCTGCACTGCCCTTTTCACAGGTAAAAAGGCATACCCAGTGCACGAAGCTCCCATCACTGCAGGGTTTGGGAAGGGATAAATGTACGTAACTTTACCCCTCCAAGCAGAGAGACTATTTTGCTCTATAGCAAATAAAGTGGGCTACATTGCCCTTGCTCATGATGCAACTACTTATTAACCAGAACATATCCTCCCCTAAAGGACACAAACCAGGCAATATTGACTTCAGCAGTCTCACACAACAAATTTCAAAGATAATCACTGACCCAAAAGAATATTGTTCAGTCAAAGAAACAACATTTTATACACGAAGGCAATGCTCACGAAAAGATGAATAAAAGATCTTGTAGAAAATAACTGGCATCGATGCTTCTTTTACACAAATGTAAATGGGAAATTTTTCCTTTGGGGATGGCAGCATGTCTCAGAACATGCTGTATCCATCATTATCACTTGTCCCAAGGAAACACAAGATTGCTAAAACAAATGTGAAGAAGGATGAGAGTTCCAGAGCCAGGGCTCCCCAACCAATAACACCAGAATGTTTTAAGATAACTGGTATTGCGATGCTCCCAATGGTTGAAGCTCCAGTCAAGAACTTAGTTACATCCACCCAACTGATTTACCAGCAAGATTGAGATCGAAAGGTTGTTTTTATGAGCAAGAGAAAAATGAAAAAAAGGCGCAATCTAATCACTCAATTACTTTGAATGAAAAGGCCTTACCTATTTCCAGACTCAGAGAAGAAAGAAGAAGTGTCTGACCCCGCAAAGAACAACAAAGGCATGGGAAGAAGCACATACATTAATACTGCAAGAAGACAAGACAAGACAACACAGCTATCAGAAACCTAAAGTATTGAACAAACAATGCTATCTTCTTTAGATTTTTGTAGACATGAAAGCTAGCAGGGATCTACAGGTCTCCTAGTTTGAAGGAAATATCCAGCCAATAGTTAGGTGAGGACAGTGCTCAAGTTCATGGGAAGACTCGAGCCAAGATGGACTTGCCCTCATGAAGATTACCAATTTAAAATTGCCATTTTCACTTGCCTTAAATTCTTATTAGCAGACATCATTTCTACACGAGCAAGATAGCAAATCAAAACAATCCGAGAAATAAGAAATGATTTCATTAGGCAAGCAATGTGCAATGAAGAGCAATTCAAGACATGACAAAGTTCAAGAAGCAGTGTCCATTGATACGGTCAAACAGATTTCGTATTTTATGAGAGACCATATTATTCCACACTTGTCTTGACAAACATTGCCCGATATCACAGTTGAGCGCATTTGTTATTTCATGAGAAATTATACTATATTCTACATTTGTTGGGTCAAGGATTGCCCACGAAACAGTTAAATGCCTCCGGTAGTTTGTGAGATGTTTTACTTTTTCACATCAGTCACGTCACTTGTTTTGTTTTACTTTTTTCCCAATGTTGCTTTCTTTTCTGATTTTCACCAATAAATATAAGTTAAGGGCCACCACTTGGCATAATGGTAACTGAATAACCAGATATTCATGAGGTATTGGTAAGTCTCACCCTCATATTGCTCCTTCTGAAGATCTTAGCAATTGTCATATGAAATTGAGCTTTCTTCAGTCAGTTTTTAAAATATTTAATTACACCAGCACCCTATGACAATTGCAATACCAACACGACTATCCACGAAGATTTTTAAAATGACACCCCAGATAATTTCACAGTGAAATGACTTATATACCCTCAT